ATGACTGTATTTCCTTTTGCCGGTCCCAAATCTGTTGCCGACAAATTTCATGGAATGAACCCGAGTTATGGTAATATGAGAGAGGGAGGGCAGAAACGGTCTTCTACCTAGTTTCTCTGTAATGATAATAACCTTTATCATGTCCCCGCTTAAGTCTTCTCCCTATGCTTCCTAATTTTGTGACTGGATGTCTCCCAGATCTGGCGACTTGTCTAAGTTATGCAACAGGGGTGCCCAATATGCAGTCCAAAGCCCAATAGGGATTGGAGTGGGTGCACTGGGGGGGGGGCAAGGCAGAAGAAGGATTTATGTGAGTGACTAAAAACACTGACTTAGTTGGTGGAGTCTGACACTTTTCTTTAAAAAAATATTTTTAATTAAATTTTCTGTTTTACAATTTCTGTTTTACAATACTCATTTAAATCCTTAAAATATATCAGTGGCTTCTCTGCTTCTCTTTCCATGGTTCATTTTACGTATCTTAAATCCCTGCATATTTTACAAAAACTATACCAATCAGTTTTCCTTTCTTACATCCATCAAAACTTATATACACTCTTGAATTTATCTTAATACTGCCAGAGTTTTCAGCTGTATACAGATATGGTCAGACTTGGCCCCCAGATGTTTTGGGACTACAATTCCCATCATCCCTGACCACTGGTTCTGTTAGCTGGGGATGAGGGGAGTTGTAGTCCCAAAACATCTGGAAAGCCAAGTTTGGCCATGCCTGGCTGTAAACAATTATTTTACATGTATTCAATAAACATTTTCCAAGCTTTAAACATATGTTCTTCTTGTTCTCCTATTCTATAGTTTAGGTTTGCAAGTTGTGCATATTCTGTCAACTTAAGGTGCCATTCTTTTTTGGTTGGTACCTCACTCATTTTCCATTTTGGGGCTAACAAAACACGGGCCACAGTTGTTGCATACATAAATAACCTTTTCTGACACCTGGGGATTTCAGTCTGAATTATTGCTGACAGAAAGAACTCTGGAATTTTTTGGGAAAGTACTTTTAATCATTTCTTTCAATTCATTATAGATCACTTCCCAATACTCTTTTACCCTTTTACATGTCCATCACATATGACAGAACGTTCCCTCCTATTCTTTACAACTCCTACACGTATCTGATTCTGTCTTGTACATCTTAGCAAGCCAACTCGGAGTTAAATACAATCTGTGAATCATTTTCAGGTAGTTCTCCTTCAAAGAATTTGTTGTGGTTTAGTCATTTAGTCGTGTCCGACTCTTCGTGACCTCCTGGACCAGAGCACGCCAGGCACTCCTGTCTTCCACTGCCTCCCGCAGTTTGGTCAGACTCATGCTGGTAGCTTCGCCATGGGGTCACGAAGATGCGGACACGACTAAATGACTAAACAACAACCAACACTTTGAATTGTGCTTGGAAACATTGTTGTTTGTTGTTGTTTAGTCATTTAGTCGTGGGGATTCGAACCAACCTTCTGATCAGCAAGTCCTAGGCTCTGTGGTTTAACCCACAGTATAAACACTGACAACTGGGAAACACTGGCCTGCGAGCGCTCCAGTTGGAGAACAGCCTTTACCAAAGGTGTCATGGGCTTTGAAGATGCTCGAACTCAGGACACAAGGGAGAAACGTGCTAAGAGGAAGGCACGCTTGGCAAATCCACACCGTGATCAACCCTCACACAGAAACCAATGTCCCCACTGTGGAAGGACGTGTGGATCCAGAATTGGACTCCACAGCCACTTATGGACTCATTGTTAAAACTGTGTTTATGGAAGACAATCTTACTCGGCTACGAGTGATCGCCAAAGAAGATATATATACATAGATAGATGGATAGAGATAGAGGTATATAGATATAGATATAGATATAGATATAGATATAGATATAGATATAGATATAGATATAGATATAGATATAGATATAGATATAGATATGCATGCATTCACACATACTTGAAGCTTGCTGCAAGTTCTGGAGCTGTTCAAAGCACACGTCTTCATTCATGCCGAATCCATTTACATTGCCAAGTTGTTCCTCTGTCTTTAAGTGCAGTCTAATACACTGCAGGTGTAATACACACGGGTGGCGCTGTGGGTTAAACCACAGAGCCTAGGACTTGCTGATCAGAATGTCGGCAGTTCGAATCCCCTGCTCCTGCCAACCTAGCAGTTCGAAAGCACATCAAAGTGCAAGTAGATAAATAGGTACCGCTCCGGTGGGAAGGTAAATGGCGTTTCTGTGCGCTGCTCTGGTTCGCCAGAAGCGGCTTAGTCATGCTGGCCACATGACCCTGAAGCTGTACGCCGGCTCCCTCGGCCAATAAAGCGAGACGAGCGCCGCAACCCCAGAGTCGGTCACAACTGGACCTAATGGTCAGGGGTCCCTTTACCTTTAATACACTGCAACCTTACAGGTGAAGCTTCCCCCAACATGTTACCTCCAGGTAACGTCACCTGCTTAATTCTTGCAGGCAGAGGCATTGTGGTGAGGGCAGAGAAAAGTTGGCAACCCTCCCAGGAAACAGAAACCAGGTTTAGTACTCATTAGAAAGGCCTTTTGTTTTCTCCTCCGTAAACTGTAGATGGCAGCTTCTCTCAACAAATCGGGCAAGTTGAGGGTGAAATGTTTCTGTGTGCCTAGCGTTCATCCTCCCTTCAGTTTGGAAAAGATTATTATTTGCTCGCTACTCCCCAGTTCCATCTCGATTAGTGAGCCTGCTGCAACAGCAACTCTTTCCTTTCCCGATACGCCCTGAGCTCTGTGACCTTTTCTGTGGTCTCAAGCTCTTAGAATTGTAGAGTTGGAAGGGACCCGAGGGTCATCTAGTCGAACCCCCTGAAATGCAGGAATCTCAGCTAAAGTATCAATGACGGATGGCTGTCAAACCTCTATTTAAGAAGTCTGAGGAAGGAGAGTCCACATCCACCCAAAGGGGGCCGTTCCACTGTCAAATGACTCTTATTATAAGAAAGTTTTTGTGTATGTTTAGTTGGAATCTCCTTTCTAGTAACTTGAAGCCATGGGTTCGAGTCTTACCGTTCAGAGCAGGAGAAAACAAGCTTGTTTAGGGAAGTTTTTAATGCGTGACATTTTAATGTATTTTTAATCTTTGTTGGAAGCTGCCCAGAGTGGCTGGGGAAACCCGGCCAGATGGGCAGGGTACAAATAATAAATTATTATTATTATTATTATTCCTTCTTCCATGTGGCAGCCCTTTAGGTATTTGAATACGACTATCATATCTCCCCTCAATCTCCTCATTTCCAGGCTAAACATACCAACTCAAGAGCTTCTCCTACTTTTGAACTCCTCTCATTCTAGCCTCACAAGCCAAGGTAAATTTGAGTTTCTCTGCATTTCTTTACATATGCAGGGAAAATGGGGGGGAGGGAATCAATTTGGTAGCGACAATCTGGGTTTTGGAATTCAAGGTATTGATTTCCTGGCAACCCTCCAAAAAAGGGCCTGTTTGATTGGATTATTGGGCTGATTCATCAGTCTGAGCGAAAACCATTCTAGAGTCTCTCCTCTCGTTTAGCGGATGACTGCATTCTCTCCAAACAACCCCCACCCTTCCATTTTAATAATGACTATAACTGGACTTTCACAGTCCAGTGTGGTATGATTTAAAGCATCAACGGTGGCAGAGGGAGTGACATCTATGGGGACTTCGATTTTCCAACTTTCCTTCCACTCTGAGGGGGCCAGCAGCCTGTGGCCACTAAACCAGCTCAGTCCTCATTGGTCTGAAGGAGAGTCTCCACCCCCATCCCTCAGCCCAGACACTGAGGTCCAGCTCCAAGGGCCTTCTGGTGCATGGGTAGGCAAACTAAGGCCCGGGGGCCGAATCCGGCTCAATCACCTTCTAAATCCGGCCCACGGACAGTCCGGGAATCAGCATGTTTTTACATGAGTAGAATGTGTCCTTTTATTTAAAATGCATCTCTGGGTTATTTGTGGGGCCTAGGAATTCGTTCATTTCCCCCCAAAAATATAGTCCGGCCCACCACAAGGTTTGAGGGACAGTGGACCGGCCCCCTGCTGAAAAAGTTTGCGGACCCCTGTTCTGGTGGTTCCCTCACTGCAAGAAGTGAGGTTACAGGGAACCAGGCAGTGGGCCTTATTGGTAGTGGCACCTGCCCTGTGGAACGCCCTCCCATCAGGTGTAAAGGAAATAAACAACTACTGTATCTGACTTCTAGAAGACATCTGAAGTCAACCCTGCATTGGGAAGTTTTTAATGCTTGGCAGTTTTTATTTTTTGCTGGAAACCGCCCAGAGTGGCTGGGGAAACCCAAATCAGATGGACGGCATATAAACAATAATTTATTATTATTATTCCAACATTTGGTTTCATTGGATGTCTGAGTTGGATGGCCATCTGCCATGAATGCTTTAGCTGAGATTCCTGCATTGCATTGTTGGACCAGATGACCCTCAGGGTCCCTTCCAACTCTTAAGATTCTATGAGTTCTGGTCCTACAAGAGAGGGATTAAAAAACCTTTCTTTGTACACTTTCTCCATCATTTTATAAACTTTTATCCTGTTGCCTCTTCCTCATCTTTCCTCTCAACTCAAAAGTCCCACCCCCTTGATTATTTGGGTTGCCCTCACCTGAACCTTTTCCAATGGAAAGGCAGGATGGAAGTTGTAACTCAACATCATCTGGAGGGTGGCCAGTTAAGGAAGGCTGATAAGGATGATCACCAATCATGTCAGGATTGAGAGAGTGGCTTCTCCCACATTAAATGAACAGATTGAGGGAAAAGCATAGTAGGAAAACAATGCTCATGATTTATTTTATCTGATACAGGAGGGGATGCCCCTATGTAGCAATTGATACACTTGAAAATGCCCCTGTGATTTTCATATATGGCACCTGAAGTCTCATCAGCCACCAATTAAGGGGAGGATTTCAATGCTCAATGTTTACCTAGGTGTGGGGGACCCTCACACACACACAAAAATTAACTATAGGAAGGAGAGCCTTTAGAGACAGAGTAGAAATAGAGATTTCTTTATTATTATTTTATTAAAATACAACCAAGTTCCTTATACAAATAAAGGAATTTCTGTTGTTTCCAAGAAGCAATTCTTTTATCAAAAGAAAACCATTCACAGAAAAGAAAAGAAGTCATCAACACTAGCTAAGAGGCATGCATTGCAATCCCAACAGCGCGAGTGCAAAATAAAACATAGGCTCTTCTCTCTCGCATTCTATATTCAAAACCCTTGCATTTGGTCACTTTAAAAAAATAAGCATTTAGAACCAACCTCCAGGCCACTTGGTAAGAACCCCCCTCCCCTTTTTGCTACAAAGTACAGCAGTTAACATGAACCGGCTACATTCCAAGTCAGAGAATGGGGGGCAGGGGGACAAAATAAGGGCAAGGCAAACCAAATCTCCCAGTTGTGTTTCAGATTGTCTATGCACAATATCTCCACTTAGATGGCCCATCAGCAGGGCGCAAGGTTTGCAGGACTCCTGGCTCAAGAAAAATGTGAAGTAAGGAATATCGAAATACCCCCAATCCTGTCTTGGGTTCTGTACATTAACCCATGTGTCTAACAAAGGTAGGGGGGCTGTGGAAAATGAACGTCGCCCATCCCCATTTCATTTGAGTCCAGACATGCACAAAGGATATGCTCTGAGATGTTTCATGCAACTGTTTCCTGTGCAATGGAGCAACTACAAGCGGATATGATGTCCTCAGTTATGTTGCACCCTGACACCCCAACCCTGGCGAATATCCAGAATGTTGGGTGCTGTCATGTGGCCAAGAGAAGTAGCGTCGTCAGGAACCTGAGCATTGGTCAGTAACGGTTGCTGTGCGCATGCAATCGGATCGCAATGGGTACATTCAGAAAATGGCGGCCAAATGAATTGCAGGTGTTTAGCGGTTGCTAGAGAAAAGGGTACAGGAAGGAAGCGAGTGACAAAGGCTGCGAAACAGTTAATCTCTGCTGGATCCGCCCAGCAGGGATATGGATCGCAGTGCCACGTTCCAGCTCTATAATATTTTGCACACACGTGAATCACCGTTATCAATTTAAAAGCGGACACACAGATAAGTCAGTGGAAGCAAACTTTTTTGGCGAGAAGGTTCAAAACCATGTTGGTTTGCAGGGGAAAATATCAAGCACTGGCGTGGGATCTTAGCACTTTAAATCTGGGAGCAGATCAGTGAAGTGTGTGCCGTGGCTGTTTTTGCCAAATCTCCCTTTGATGAACAAAAGCTCACGAATTCAAAAACCGTTCCGCGATGGGAAAGCGGCAAGGCGGCAGGGGTGAGAGCTGGTAGAAATCAATAATTCAAATGCACATATGCCACTGCTTCTGAAAGCACACATTTCCTCTAAACAGAGCAGCTACGGGTGCAGGGAACAAATCGGATGCAAGCCCGGGATAGGGGCTTACAGAGCTGCTCAAAAATTTAAAAAAGGAGCAATGAAGGAACTGCCTAAAAACTGCATACATTCAAATACTGGCTTAAAACCCTGGTCAGCTATACAGCAGAGCCTACCAGGCCATAATAAAACAGTGACTGACTGAGGAAGTTAACTAGATTCCTGCCAAAATATACCATGACTAGAAGATGGAGCTGAAGAATTGAACACCTGATTCACAGTAGGCTGAGCACCAAGGTGAAGGTTGGGGAGCCTGTGGCCCTCTAGAGAATGGTGGACTCCAGTTCCCATCAGCCCCTGCCAGCAGTCAGGGTGGATGATGGTAATTGTAGTCCAGCAACACGTGCAGGACTCAATTGCTGGCCAAGGTGATTCCTCAAACGCTTTATAGATCTATTTTCGTGGCAGTCATGCTTTTATCTCAAGATGCCCACCTGAGGCTCTCTTGCTAGCACCCCAGAGATGCCAAGACCAGTTTCTGCACAGCACCCAATGATCTTTTGCTGTGGTTTCACCTGGGAGGGCTGGTGGCCAATGCCAGCTCAGGGCCAGGTAGCCACATCCTCTGGGGATCAGGTATGTGTACCTGGTCCCCATGGAAATCTTTGGGCCGATGCACCATCAAATGAATGAAAATCAGCAGCACTGAACTCTTGAGAGCACAAGCATGTCTGCACCAGAACAGGGGCTGCTGCCTCCAACATTGGCTTTAAAAATAGCTAGAAGTGGGAATGCGAGGAAATCAGGGTCTTGCAGGGTGGGGAAGAGGAATGATGCAGCAGAGGACAACTGCATAGCAAACTTTGGGGAGGGGGATAACTCCCCTCAAAATGGCTTGTGCAGAGACACATGCAACCCCACACGTGACGGTCCTTTCGCTGCAAGACGGATGAGGAGGAACCATCAGAAGACAACAAGAAGGCTGAAGGTACACAGGTGGGCGGACTTGCCAATTGGTGTGTTTCCAGACAATGGCGGGGATGAGAATAGAATTCGAGGCAGATATGGAGACAAAGGAATTTAGAGGTTGGGTCAGTTTCGAAAGAGGAGCTAACACGAAACCGATTTGGTGGCGAGTCTTAGTGGGCCGATATCAGTCTACTGCTACGAAACACCACTCACGGCTTGCCTCAGGTTAGCTGGCCCAAAGTCCCTCTTACTCGCGAGGTGAACTATTTATGGATCTTTAAAGGGAAGCGTTAACACGTTTTTTCTGCAGACAATTGTCTCCGGGTTGTTTAAATGGATGGGCCCATCACCAATTTTCCACCAGAGATGTCTTGTCTCATCATGGCTAACTCCTGGGACTCAAGTCACATGATCAGATGTGACCATTTCCCTGTCCCCTAATAATTGCCCCTCTGAAAGTCACTTCCTGGGCAATCAAATTTTTAATTTTCAGAAAAGACTGTTGAAAATGGATCAGCCCACAACCGTTAAGCCATTTGTGGTACTCATGATGAGCATGTATGGATCAGCAGATAACAAGAAAAGAGAATTTGGGGGGTGGGAAAGATTGTGTATCCCTCCCCAGTCCTTGAGACAGGAAGGAACGATTCACAAAACCGTCCCCTATTGGGTCTCCAGATTTAGCTTTTTTGATAATTTTCCAGGGGGTGGTATCTCAATTTTGCTTGGAGCAAGTTCAGGAGGAAAGTTTAAGGGGAGTTTATGGCATCAAGACAAATTTGGCCTAACAAGGCTCCTCTTTTTTTTTGCAAACTCTGCTTGCGTTAAGGGAGGCGAAAGCACCCCATAATCACAAAAGGCATTCACAGTATCTCCCGGTGAGCGGGACACATACAGAGATATCTTCCTCACACCCGTTTCTTTGGCAAGATTCATGCAAAGAAAGAAAATGAAGTTAAAATTAAAAAAAAAGTCATCTTCTCTACAGAGCTTATAATAAAAGCATTTGGTATGTACATTCTAACCGTCTTAAAACCTTCGCAGTGGTTATTAAAGTGCAGAATTTGTTCCGTCTACGACAGACACTCTTCCTTCGCTAAGTCTGTTTCCTGGTAACCCAAGCGGAGGTCAGTAGAAACAAGAAACAGAAAATAGAACAATAAAACGGGAAAAAACCCAAAAACCAACACCGTTTGCAGCAGGAAAGGAGGGAAAGATTGAGGGACGGGCAGTCGGGGAAAACCATCTGAAGTAAGACATGTTCTGAGACAGCTCGGTTTCTGGTCTGCTACCTGTTCAAGTACAAGACCAAGACTAGGGGGTGGAAGGTTACTGGCCTTAAAATGTGCTAAGCCGCTCAGATTTGCAAGCTCTGAAGCTCTGGGTGATAACTGGAAAAAGACTATGAAATGTGTGCCACTGTGTGTGTGTTTGTGTGTGTGTGTGTGTGTGTGGGCACTGTGCAATTAAATCTTAAAAGCAGGAACAGTCCTGGGCAAGAGAGGACCATTTTCATAAAGGTATCTAAGCACACTGCTTGCTGTTAAATCTCAACAAGCTCTGCCTATTTCACACAGCATACAGGCTATCCCTATGCTACCCCTGGGCATATAGATCTAGAAACCTCAGAGGACTCTGTCCCCACACAGTGCACAGAGTATTTCCTGAGGACCATGGGTGGGAAGCGCACAGAAGCTGAAACCAAAATTATTATTTTTTAAAGTTCACATGAGAACATCAGGGATGCTCATGTCGGCAAATGAGATCTGCATTCCTTGAAGTTACTCTCTGATTGCATTTGCCCAGTCTGCGTTAAACCCTGCACATCCACTTATCGTAAGCTGCAAGATAAGGAACTTGGGTTGTGTGCACGGATATATTTAAGTGTTTCTATTATCTGCAGCAACCTCCACAGCCAGCCACAGATCACGTGTGCCACGCGCTAGCGATTTGGCTTTAAAAAAAAATATTAATTAAGAGGAGAGCTTTTACCCTGCTTTGCTTCCCTGTAGAACTGAAAAACTGGCCTTTGTAAATGAACTCTCTGTACTCACAGGCATGTTTCATATCTATCGCACGACTAATGCGCGGTTCTATTACGTTGGGCGACAGGCTCCATCAGAGAGATGCATTTGGGCAGGACCACAGACCCTGCTAAACATGGCAGCCTCACATCTAGCTATGCTCCCTTGCCCCGGCCCTGTAACACGCAAGAATGAACTTATGACATACTTTACTACCTCTTGTGGTGGGGCAAGAGGCTGCCATTTTTGGCAGCAGTCTTGAGTTTTAAAATCTGTTTACATGCTAAAAAAAACAAAACAAAATCCAGCTACTCCACACACAACTCCCCTTGGCCTTCTGGAGTCAAATCTCCTGCAAAGATGGCTCCCAAATTTTCTCAGCGCAGGAACACCGGTGTCAACCCCGGAAATGAGCTAAGAGCAGCCCCTGCAAAATATGGCTACATGTCCTACCAGCCTTAGCAGAGGAATTCAAGGCAGTGGGAACTTGAGTGCAGAGGAGAGTTCTTAGTTAAAAATAAAACCAGAGAGAGCAGAGTGTTGTTTGCGAACCTCCTATGGAACAATAAATCTGGTTTCTTGCATTATACATAGGTGGACTATCTTAAGGTTCCCTACCATGACCGACTATGTGGTGTGTCCGTAATTATTCCCTGTGATTAAGCAGCTCGGGGCAGAATCACAAACTGCAACGTTTCGGACAGGACTTTGCAGACCAGGCCTGGTAGGACTTTGCAGAGCCAAGATGCTAAGCTGGATTAATTCAGGCCAAACGAGCAACTCCAGAGATATATTTTTATGCTTTTGGAAAGCTCAGCATGAGAATATGTCACCGGCAAAGGCGAAAAGCCCCTTTGCACTTGTTCAAAGGTGGACTGTGTCCTTTGGCCGCAAAGGTGGCCATCGTATGCAGCCTTGGCCAACCAGGTGCCCTCAAGACGTCTTGGACTTCAGCTCCCATCAGCCCCAGCCAGCGCAGTTGGGAGTTGTAGTCTGAATAATCCGGGGAACACCCAGTTGGCCAAAGGGACAACCTCTCTGAATTTCCAGATGCGGTTCTTTTATTTGGTCATCGTTCTCACTGCAGAAAGCGATGCTCAGGACTTGTTAAAACAACAACAACAGCTCCCCACGTCTAGCTAACTTAGAACTGGTCTACTGCACTGGGCTGCAACAAGTGTGAATTACACACATGTGTGCTTGTCCATTGGGATCTGAACAATGTTCCTGGGTCAAGAAGGGGGGAAATGCTATATTACACAGAGGATTTCCATGTTAGGTAGAAAAGGAGGGGAGAATCCGTCTCCCTGACATCTGGTTTTCTACATGTAAGGAGAGAGAGAGAGATGATAAACCACTGAAACATAAAACAGTATCTATACCTCACCTGCTGTTTATGCAGACCAAGCTGGGAACATCCTTGACTCTGAACTATCAAACTATCTACAGACACCAAGCCTCTCCAACCAGCGGCTTGGGTTCAGGAACAACCCTGCCACTGTACGCCACATCTAGCCTTCTGCAAAGTCTTTAGCTCTCTTTCTGGCAAAAAGAATTTTTTAAAAAATCTTACCTTGCACGGAAGAGGAATATTGAGAAATGTAGATCACAGGGGAGTTTGACACATATGCCTAATACAATATGGATTTTTGATTCTTTCTTTTTTTGCAGTACTTAAAATAAAAAGGAGGCGGGACCAACAGGCTGGAACACAGAACACGCACACACAAATTATAATTAGGACCCGCAGTGTATAAAGCAGACATCGGGAGCATTCGGATTTTCCAGAAATATAATGTCATGTTTTGCGGGGGGGGGGGGAGGAGGAGGTTAGCTACAAAATTGGAACAGGGCAGAGACAAGCAGCAGAAACACAGCCTTTGGGGGGGGGGGTGGAACGAGACAAACCCTAACCTGGAACGAGACCCTGCCCAGGACCCCAATGTTCACTATGTACTGTACGTTAAAATTAAACGCCAAGAGCAAATCAAAACCGATGGGAGCCAAAGGGCTAGGATTTAAACGGAGGAGAGGTGGGAAAGAGAAGAGTGCGAAGGAGAAAAGAAGAGGGAGGAGGAGAGAATTTAAGTTGATGGCAAGATACAGTACATGTTAACACTGATTGCACAAGAACCCTTTCACTCTCTGGTGGGAAAGAGGGGGTGGGGGGTGGAACGACAGGCATCAATTACCCAGGACATTTATATGCAAAATATATACACAAATCTAGATTAGCTATGTATATATGTACACATAAGTAGTACTGTACACACAGGGGAAGGGAAGAGGGATTCTGCCAAATGTTTCAGTGCCTGGTTCAGTCGCCATCGTGCAAATCTGCTGTTCCAAGTCGGGACCGTCTGCAAGAGGGTTTGGCTAATTCGCATCCGCCTCTGGGTTTCCGCTCGAAAGCAGGGAGCTGCCTCTGCGTCAATGCAGATACCCCAAGACAGAAAATGATACAGGACTGGAGCAAAAATCTGTCCCAGGTCTGCTCCACATTGGTCTTCTGGTGGCTTTTGACCGAATCAGCCACCCACTGATCTCCGGGGCTCCTGGCATGAGAGGTTGTATTCAGAAGCAGAGGAAACTGCCCAGAGGACACTGTAATTCTGTCAGGTTAAAAAGGGGCGCCCTCCTGTTCCTCTCACAGAGCAGCACAGTACAGGGTGTGTGTGTTTGTGTGTGTGTGTGTCAAAAATGTCTATAAAAACGACGCTGTCCTTCCCTTAAACAAAGACGCGGGGAGACGCAATGCCAAACTTTTGTCTTTGGGGTTTCCGTAAAGCACACTTGCCACTCCAGCTTCAAAGAGCGCTGGTTCCCCCACCCCACCCCACCCCAACCCCCCCACCCCTGAAATCTGGGCACTTGGTTGGTCTCTAGCAACATGCCTTTGGGTAGTCAGTTGTGCAGGAGTACAAAAATCAAGTCACGAGAGGTTCGGGGACCAAACCAAAGGTCCGGCGAGTCGCCCAGCCAGACGCCAGCTTCCTTTCCGTTTGAAAAAGATAGAAGCCCGCTGGCTGGTGCAAGGGAAACAAGGCTGCGTCTTCCCCTAGTGCTCAGCATCCATTGCGTCCAAGTATTTCGCTTCAATGATCCTTGGGAGCAAGTTATACCTGGGTGGAAGAAGGGGGACACCGTTAGATTCTGCCCTAAGCAGAAGGCTTTCCGCGTGGCTCTTTCGGGCTCTGCACCTAGCGCACTGCAAGGACACAGGAAAGCGTCTTGCGCTGAGCCGCACCAGTGGTCCAGCGTGCTCAGCACCTCCTACACTGGCTGGCAGTGACTCTCTGGGAATTCAGAGCAGGGAATCTATCCCAGAGCTATCCGGGGAGTCGAACCCGGGACTTTTCTGCGTGGAAAGCAGATGAGCAGATTTCTGAGCTGCCATCTTTCCCTTACGACCCGGGAAGAGAATCTGCTGTGCCTGCAGAAAGACCCCAGGATAATTTGCAACGAGAAATGCAGGGTACATCATAATAGCAATCATCATCATCATCATCATCACAGCTGTCCATGGAGGCGCAGGTCAGTTCTGTATCCAGGGCGGCTGTCTACCAGCTCCATCTGGTATGCAGGCTGAGACCCTGCCTGCCCGCAAACTGTCTCGCCAGAGTGGTGCATGCTCTGGTTATCTCCCGCTTGGACTACTGCAATGCGATCTACATGGGGCTACCTTTGAAGGTGACTCAGAAACTGCAATTAATCCAGAATGCGGCAGCTAGGCTAGTGACTGGGAGTGGCCGCCGAGACCATATAACACTGGTACTGAAAAATCTTCATTGGCTCCCAGTACGTTTCCGAGCACAATTCAAAGTGTTGGTGCTGACCTTTAAAGCCCTAAAGGGCCTCAGTCCTGTATACCTGAAAGAGCGTCTTCGCCCCCATTGTTCTGCCCAGACACTGAGGTCCAGCGCCGAGGGCCTTCTCGGTAGTGGCACCTGCCCTATGGAACGCCCTCCCATCAGATGTCAAGGCAATAAACAACTATTTTACTTTTAAAAGACAACTGAAGGCGGCTCTGTTTAGGGATGTTTTTAATGTCTGACGCTGTATTGTTTTTAATATTCGGTTGGAAGCCGCCCAGAGTGGCTGGGGAAACCCAGTCAGACGGGCGGGGTATAAATAATAAATTATTATTATTATTAGAAGAAGAAGAGTTTGGATTTGATATCCCGCCTTTCACTCCCTTTAAGGAGTCTCAAAGCGGCTAACATTCTCCTTTCCCTTCCTCCCCCACAACAAACACTCTGTGAAGTGAGTGAGGCTGAGAGACTTCAGAGAAGTGTGACTGGCCCAAGGTCACCCAGCAGCTGCATGTGGAGGAGCGGGGAAGCGAATCCGGTTCCCCAGATTACGACACTACCACTCTTAACCACTACACCACACTGGCTCTCATTATCATCATCATCATCATCATCATCTCCAAGGTGATCTCTGTGGCTTCTGGCACCAGGCCTGTTGGCAGACTAGCTCTGTGTTACAAAGATGTCCGCCACATCAGCCCCACCGTGTGGTAATCCCTTGCAGACGACCGCAGTGCCTGGAGGCAGAGAGGCAAGTTGTGCATCCACAGCAGTGAGCATTGGAGGAATGACCACTGGGAGGAGTGCAGAGAGCAGAAAAGTCATGGTGCATCTGCAGCAGCACAACCAGACGCCTTCCGCTGTCCCGGCTGCAACAAAACATGTCTCTCCTGCATCGGTCTCTACAGCCACAGCAGGCGCTGTAACTCTCCAACACCCCGCAAGGTGCACTCCTCTGTTGTCTCCCGGGACAGACCGATGCCAGCTAAATATTTACATCCCACCTTTCCTCGAATGAGTGTAGGGTTGCTTACATGTTTCCCTGCCCCACTTCCATTTTGCTCCTCACAACATCCCTGCAAAGCAGGTCAGGCTGAAAGAGGTAGCAGCTGGTCTACTGTCTAGCCCACCCCCTAAAGCGCATTTCGTGGCTGAGCACGCATTTCAACGCTGGTTGCACCTGGCTCTTATAGCCTGATCCTCTAACCCAATGATGGCCAAACTCGGCCTTCCAGCTGTTTTGGGACTACAATTGCCATCATCCCTGACCACTGGTCCTGTTAGCTAGGGATGGTGGGAGTTGTAGTCCCAAAACATCTGGAGGGCCGAGTTTGGCCATCACTGCTCTAACCACTACCAGCAGGATAAAATAATATAATAATAAAAATAATAATTTATTATTTATACCCCGCCCATCTGGCTGGGCCTCCCCAGACACTCTGGGCGGCTTCCATAGAAACCAAAAATACACTAAAATATCACACGTTAAAAACTTCCCTGAACAGGGCTGCCTTAAGATGTCTTCTGAATGTCAGGTAGTTGTTTATCGCTTTGACATCTCATGGGAGGGCGTTCCACAAGGCGGGTGCCACCACCAAGAAGGCCCTCTGCCTGGTTCCCTGTAACTTGGCTTCTCATAGCGAGGGAACCGCCAGAAGGCCCTTGGCACTGGACCTCAGCGTCCGGGCAGAACGATGGAGGTGAAGATGCTCCTTCAGGTATACTGGACCTGAAGAGGTATACTTTTACCTGAAGATAAAAGAGGCCCCATCCAAGCCCAAAGCCCTCTTGGGCAAGGAGTACATCCCCAGAGCGTACCTGATAGGGACCATTCCAATCATGATGAGGGGGAAGATCATCTTCATGTAGGGCAGGGGAGACATCCCAAATCCACAAAGGATGAGGAGCTGGAGGACCTGAAGACCTGTGAAGTAGTGGATCTTCCTCTGGGGCACCCGGCGGATGTAATGCGTCGGAGGGTAGGCTGTCTGGAAACGACAAGGGTGTTAGCGAGAGACTGAGGCTGCCACATTCTCCACCCCACCCCACCCCTCATCAGAGGAGCTGTTTCTAGGAGAAAATCTGTGAGGGGATTTCCTGGCCTTTCCGGGCTGTGCCATAAAAAAGAAAAAAAATCTTTTTTATTGGGTTTTATAAACAAGAATATAGTGGTGCCTCGCAAGACGAAATTAATTCGTTCCGCGAGTTTTGTCGTCTTGCGATTTTTTTCGTCTTGCGAAGCACGGTGTCGGGAAAGTTTTGGAAAAGCTTCAAAAATCACCAAAGTCTTCAAAAACCTCAAAAAAGGCTACCACACCACGTGCTATGAGTTGCTCCTCGAAGTCAAGTCGCAACTGTATTAACGGTTTTAAGAAAAAGGAAACAAACTTGCAAGACGTTTCCGTCTTGCGAAGCAAGCCCATAGGGAAAATCGTCTTGCGAAGCAACTCAAAAAACCAAAAACCCTTTCGTCTTGCGAGTTTTCCGTCTTGCGAGGCATTCGTCTTGCGAGGTACCACTGTAATGTTATACAAACAGGTATACCGAGTTTTCTCATGTCATTTGTATATCACAAAAATAACATGATACAGTGGTACCTCGGGTTACAAACGCTTAGGGTTACAAAGTCCTCTAACCCGGAAGTAGTTGCTCCGGGGTGCAAACTTTGCCCCAGGATGAGAACGGAAATCACGCGGCGGCAGCAGCAGCAGGCCCCATTAGCGAAAGCGCGGCTCAGGTTAAGAACGGTTTCGGGTTAAGAACTGACCTCCAGAATGGATTAAGTTCGTAACCCAAGGTACCACTGTAAATGTGGAAAAATATCTGCAACATATGTTTCATTATTAGTGGTCAATGTACAGGTTCTTGGTTCATGAATTGGTTTAAACAGTTAAGGAGAAAGAAAAAGGAAGGAAGGAAGGAAGGAAGGAAGGAAGGAGGAAGGAAGGGAAGGGGGGAATGGTGAGTGGGGTGGGATCAGAGGAAAGAAGTCCGGACGATCTCCCAGTTGAAACGGCCTGCAGGGATGGCTGAGAACAGGGGTCAGCAAACTTTTTCAGCAGGGGGCTGGTCCACTGTCCCTCAGACCTTCTGAGGGGCCGGACTATATTTTGGAAGAGAAAAAAAAGAACGCATTCCTATGCCCCTCAAATAACCCAGAGGTGCATTTTAAATAAAAGGACGCATTCTACTCTTGTAAAAACACGCTGATTCCTGGACCGTCTGCGGGCCGGATTTAGAAGGCAATTGGGCTGGATCCGGTCCCCGGGCCTTAGTTTGCCTACCCATGGCTTAGAACAAAGGCAGGCGAATGGAAATAGATGCTGCGATCGTCTCTTCTTCTGTTGGCAAGCAGCTCTTTGCATCAAGCAGGGAACGAGGGGGCGGCTTGGCCTGGCCGGAGCATTGCTCCCAAGCCACAGCTGGGCTTCCACGTGTTAGGAATAAATCACCAGCTGTTTGAGATGTTCTGCCCAGCCTGGTCCTGCGGGCGCCTCTGCTGTGGAAGCAGATAAAAGCTTCCTGATCCCCAGCTGCTTCCTTTCATGCTACCAAGCGCCTTCTGATCAGGGGCACTGCCTGTGGATTTTTCAATGCCCCCCCCAAAGCATGCTGGGCCTGTCTTTTCCTGTGGCAGGGACACTTTGGACACCAGCCCAACATGGGAAGTCAACTCCGACAACAGCTAAATACAGGCACGAGTCCTGCGGTCAACAAGCACCATGAAGAAAAGCGGGAGGGGACATGGAAGAGGGAGTTCAAGAGGGTGTGGAACCATTAGGAGTTCGGGAGGCCCAAACCCAGGAGGTTTGTGATACCTGCATCGCTGTGCCCCTAGCTCACGGCTGTACAGTGGTACCTTGGGTTAAGAACTTTATTCGTTATGGAGGTCTGTTCTTAACCTGAAACTGTTCTTAACCTGAAGCACCACTTTAGCTAATGGGGCCTCCTGCTGCTGCTGCGCCGCCAGAGCACGATTTCTGTTCTCATCCTGAAGCAAAGTTCTTAACCCGAGGTAATATTTCTGGGTTAGCGGAGTCTGTAACCTGAAGTGTATGTAACCCGAGGTACCACTGTACTGTACAAGCACACTTCTGTTCCTGCTGGGAGGGAGCGGCACACAACCCAGTGCCAAAGGTTGCAATCAGAAGCACAGAAATTGTGCGGCACAAAAGAGCCTCAGGGACACACAAACAGGGCGCTGGTTAACCTTCCTGTGTTAGGAAACAGAAAGGAGAAGGGGTGAGGAAAAAATCCCCTAGCTGCCAGGCTGAAGGGTAATTATCTGCGGCCTCCTTCAGTGGGTGAAACGTTTTGATCCTGCCTTTAAAAAATACAAATGTGCTTTGGGTTTTTCTCCGCTTCGTTTTATGTTGGTTTTAATGTATGTGCTATTTATTTGATGTTCTAAGTTGCTTCGAGCTCCTAATAAGTTTAATAAAGTTGTTGTTGTTAGACAGCCCTATACCTGAAGGTCTCAGGGCGGTTCACAGGATCAAATCACAATATAAAACCACAAAATACATAATTAATATAAAAATGAAAGCAACCCAATAACCACCATTCCCATACACATATTGAAAGGGCACTGGATGTCAATTAACCAAAGGGCTGGTTAAAGAGGAACGTTTTCACCTGGCAACTAATGGTGTGTAATGAAGGTGGCAGGCGAGCCTCTCTGGGGAGAGCATCGCATGATGGGGAGCCACTGCAGAAAAGGCCCCGTTCTTGTGATGTCACCCTCTGGACCTCTCGTGGAGGAGGCACATGAAGAAGGGACTCAGAGGATGAACATAGAGTCTGGGTAGGTTAATAATAATAATAATAATAATAATAATAATAATAATAATAATTTTTCTGCAGAGAGCATACACATGTGCATTGGTGGCGCAGGGAAGCATTTTGGAAAGCTTCCCAGCTGACACACTTGCAAGAAAAACGTTCCACCTGAAACAGTCAACCACGTCAATACACCTTAGCCTTAGGCCTGACCTCTCCTTCCTCCACAAGACGGTGGCATTAACGGGGGCTAACCACATGCAACTGCAAGCGAGAGCCTTGCTAAAAGCCATTTCCCATTGGAATTTGGCTCAGCATTTTGGGGGGGGGGCGGGGGGGAAGCCCACTCAATCCGAGTCGGCGCCTTGCCCCAGCGGAGAGGGTCTCGCTCGCTGCGGAAACGGCGCCCCTGCCGCTGCGAAGTGTGGGAGGGGCCCCTTTTATTTCGGAAAGGCTAAACAGTGGCTGCTCTGCCGCTGCACAAGCAGAGGGCAAGACCAAGGCCGCTTCTGGTGCCAGGAGGTGAAAGTTGCTGTTTCCCCGCCCCCCGGACCGGATGACTGGGATGTTCTTGCTGGCAACTGTCCCAGCGGCATTTCGCCCGTAGGGTTTTTTTGCTGCCGGAGCGGAGCCAAGACAACAAACAGGGCGTGAGGCGGCAGCGGTGGTGGCAGGAGCAGAGGGAGATCATAAAAAGCAATCAGAGGCTTTTTAACGGCCGTGTTTTTCAAGTTGCGGCAATCAACTCGTGATTATGAGCTTCCTCAGGAAACGGAGGCGTGCAGGTCCGCCGGGGCCTCAGCTCCTTATCCTGCACAGCTTGCAAAGTCCGTGCTGCCCCCCGGTGCGCTTACCTGCTCTTTCAGCAGGAGGGCGACCCTCTCAAAGAGCTGGTTCCCGTCGATGGAGGTCAGGGCGATGTAGAGGAACAGGCCGTAGAGGACGGGCTTTGGGATCAGTTGCAGCGGGAAAGGCAGGAGCAGCAGGGAGAGGCCCACCAGGAAGTTGGCTACCAGGGTGGTCAGTCGGGTCTCCTTCACGCTCACGATCCTGGCCGCGGAGGAAGGACAGAAGCAGGGCGTGTTACTGAGCAGTGAGATAGCCCATCCCGCAAGGATGCGTGCAAGCGTTTGAGAGAGCAGATAATAGTACAGTGGGCGCTCGGGTTGCGAACAGGGTCAGTGCAGGAGGCACGTTTGCAACCTGCAGCGGCACATCTGTGCACACATGGGTTGCAATTCGGGGCTTCTGTGCATGTGCAATTTAGCGCTTCTGCGCATGTGCGAACCCGAAACCCAGAAGTAACCCCTTCTGGGTTTTGGCGGGTCCGTAACCTGAAAAAACACAACCTGAAGCGTCTGTACAGTGGTACCTCTGGTTACGTACTTAATTCTTTCCGGAGGTCCGTTCTTAACCTGAAACTGTTCTTAACCTGAAGCACCACTTTAGCTAATGGGGCCTCCCGCTGCCGCTGCGCCGCCGGAGAACGATTTCTGTTCTCATCCTGAAGTAAAGTTCTTAACCCGAGGTAATATTTCTGGGCTAGTGGAGTCTGTAACCTGAAGTGTATGTAACCTGAAGTGTATGTAACCCGAGGTATGACTGTAGTAGTAGTAGTAGTAGTAGTAATAATAATAATAATAATAATAATAATAATAATAATAATAATACAGTGGTACCTTGGTTTCGAACATTTTGGAAGTCGAACGTTTTAGTTTTCAAATGCCGAAAACCCGGAATGCTTCCGTTTTCGAACACACCTCCGAAGTCGAACGACTTGCCCTGAGTTTGCAGATTTCCCTTTGCTCCTCGGTTTTCGAACGTTTCGTAAGTCAAACCGTCTTCCAGAACGGATTACGTTCGAAAACCAAAGTACCACTGTATTCTTTTTTAATTTATACCCCGCCCATCTGGCTGGGTATGGCTGGGTCGCCCCAGCCACTCTGGGCGGCTTCCGACACATATAAAAACATAATAAAATGTCAAACGTTAATAATTACAATCCGATCCAATACAAAAAAGTCACAAAAACTTTAAAATAAACAACTTGTATCAAATAAAGCAAAATTCAACGGTCCATTAGAATCTAATAGTGAACAGTAAAATTAAATATCAGCAAATAACAACAAAGAACCACAAAGAACCCGGGCACACTTGATGGCTGGGTGCCGAGAGATGGTTTACATGAGAGGAGGAGCCATCAAAGATCAACCACCGCAGACTGAATGTTGCATCGCTCCTGCTATTCCGGCTGCAATTGGTACTTAGTAGGAGTCAATCATAGAATCATAGAATCATAGAATCATAGAGTTGGAAGAGACCACAAGGGCCATCGAGTCCAACCCCCTGCCAAGCAGGAAACACCATCAGAGCACTCCTGACATATGGTTGTCAAGCCTCTGCTTAAAGACCTCCAAAGTAGGAGACTCCACCACACTCCTTGGCAGCAAATTCCACTGTCGAACAGCTCTTACTGTCAGGAAGTTCTTCCTAATGTTTAGGTGGAATCTTCTTTCTTGTAGTTTGGATCCATTGCTCCGCGTCCGCTTCTCTGGAGCAGCAGAAAACAACCTTTCTCCCTGAATCAGAACTGTAGAGTTGGAAGGGACCCTGAAGATCATCCAGTCCAACCCACTGCAATGCAGGAATCTGCAGCTGTCCCATACGGGAATCGAACCTGCAACCCTGGCGTTATCAGCACCGCACTCTAGCTCACTGAGCTATCTCCCGTTGAGTCACATGCAAGCAGCTGAGCCCTTGGGTAAACAGAAGAAGCAAGCAGTCTGCATGCATGTGTGAACGAGTCCCACGCGTCATACTAGAGTCGGGATTCTGGACCACACCTGGGGCATTGACCTACTTTTTGTTTTGCTATATAGTGAGCGCCTTGGATGTGCTATGTCTCAGGGGCAAGACTTAGTCCCTGACCTGGAATTCTGCAAGGCCAAAGGAAGTAGAAACAATAGAGAATAGAGAAACCAGGGGTCTGAAAAGGCGTCAACGAAGCTTTCTATGTTCACCCATAATTCTATGGAAATTGAAGGGTTCTGTGCAAGGTTGGGATCTGGAGTTGCAGTAAGGGGAAAAAATTCAGCATCCTGAAAATACCTTGAATTTTTTAAAAAATCAAGTTTCTAGTCCTTATCGATGGAAAATGCAGACTTCTTATTTGTGCAACGTCTGAAGAAACCTCCAAAGTTAAATGGGCTTTCTGGTATTCAGGGACGTGTGGCTAGCAAGTGTCAGGATTTGTTGAAAGTGCATAATTTATACGGGCCAGAGACCCTGCTTCTCCAGACGCACAATTCATGTGTTTTCTTTAGCAATGTGCACACACAGCTCCAGCGATTCTTATTCTCATTCCCACATTCAGAGCTTAAAACTAATTTAGCCTTTGCTACACAAAATCTCTTCGAATGGTTCAAATCCCCCTTTCCTGCCTTTTGATCCTCTCCAAGCAGCAACTATCAGATCTCAGAGGAGGGCATTGATTTCCTTCGTTTTCGTGGCACCCAAATAACCAAAGGAAAGCGGGGAAAAAATCGAAGGGCATCTCAGCAGAAACAGAAAACCCATCACCTTGAGGGCGCCAGGCGTTCTGATGAACTTCAAGGATAATCCTGTTTATAGCGCCAAATGAAGCTGCGCAAAGTGTAATTTCTATGGGGGGATTAGGAACTTCAGCCCTGATGTGGATTGCGGGAGATAACACCGGCAAAACTCCCAATATCAAATGGCAAGTAGCAGGGCAACCTTTTTGGAATTTAAAGTGAGCTCACATGCGCCAAGCATCCCTCTTGCAAACTCTGGGTCCGGCCAGCGGCAAAATGGGCAAGACGTTTATGGAGCATGTTCTCAGCCAGGGAGAACGTCGTGAGTTTTTAAGCAGCATCGGCAGAGGGCATCACATACAGACCTGCAGTATCTCATAGAATCATAAAGTTGGAAGAGACCACAAGGGCCATCGAGTCCAACCCCCTGCCAAGCAGGAAACACCATCAGAGCACTCCTGACATATGGTTGTCAAGCCTCTGCTTAGAGACCTCCAAAGAAGGAGACTCCACCACACTCCTTGGCAGCAAATTCCACTGTTGAACAGCTCTTACTGTCAGGAAGTTCTTCCTAATGTTTAGGTGGAATCTTCTTTCTTGTAGTTTGGATCCATTGCTCCGTGTCCGCTTCTCTGGAGCAGCAGAAAACAACCTTTCTCCCTCCTCTATATGACATCCTTTTATATATTTGAACATGGCTATCATATCACCCCTTAACCTCCTCTTCTCCAGGCTAAACATGCCCAGCTCCCTTAGCCGTTCCTCATAAGGCATCTCAGGCAGGTCTTTGCCAGGGTCTCAGCCACAGACCCCTTAATAAGGGATCCCTGGGGTTGAGAGGTGCAAGGGTCATTCCACATCAAATTAACGGTTGGAGGATGGATGGCGGCTAACAGATTGAGGTTGAATCCTGACAAGAAAGAAGTACTGTTTTGGGGGGACAGGAGGCGGGCAGGTGTGGAGGACTCCCTGGTCCTGAATGGGGTAACTGTGCCCCTGAAGGACCAGGTGCGCAGCCTGGGAGTCATTCTGGACTCACAGCTGTCCATGAAGGCGCAGGTCCATTCTGTGTCCAGGGCAGCTGATTACCAGCCCCATCTGGTACGCAGGATGAGACCCTCCCTGTCCACAGACTGTCTCGCCAGGCAGTCTAATTATCTCTCGCTTGGACTACTGCAATGCACTCTATGTGGGGTGACCCGGAACTACAACTAATCCAGGTGAAGGTGGAAGTGACCCGGAAATTACAACTAATCCAGAATGCGGCAGCTAGACTGGTGACTGGGGGCGGCTGCTGAGACCACATAACACCGGTCCTGAAAGACCTACACTGGCTCCCAGTACGTTTCCGAGCACAATTCAAAGTGTTGGTGCTGACCTTTAAAGCCCTAAACTGCCTCAGTCCAGTATATCTGAAGGAGCGTCTCCACCTCCATTGTTCTACCCGGACACTGAGGTCCAGCGCCGAGGGCCTTCTGGCGGTTCCCTCGCTGCGAGAAGCCAAGTTACAGGGAACCAAGCAGAGGGCCTTCTCGGTAGTGGCATCTGGTGGGAGGGCCCTGTGGAACGCCCTCCCACCAGATGTCAAAGAGAAAAATAACTACCAAACTACCAGATGGGTGGGTTATAAATAATAAATTATTATTATTATTTATTATAATTATGATGCAAAAAACAAGGGTTTTGTCACTCTCCGTCTCAGATTTTGATGAAACTTGGTGTATAAGGTAAAGGTGAAGGTACCCCTACCCGTATGGGCCAGTCTTGCCAGACTCTAGGGTTGTGCGCTCATCTCACTCTAGAGGCCGGGAGCCAGCGCTGTCCGCAGACACTTCCGGGTCACGTGGCCAGCGTGACAAGCTGCATCTGGCGAGCCAGCGCAGCACACAGAACACCGTTTACCTTCCCGCTGGTAAGCGGTCCCTATTTATCTACTTGCCCCCGGAGGTGCTTTCGAACTGCTAGGTTGGCAGGCGCTGGGACCGAGCAACGGGAGCGCACCCCGCCGCGGGGATTCGAACCGCCGACCTTTCGATCGGCAAGTCCTAGGCGCTGAGGCTTTAACCCACAGCGCCACCCGCGTCCCTAACTTGGTGTATACCCTTCCCTTATGGTTGAAAGAAACACCCTTGAATTCCCCCCCTCTATCTCAAATGGTTTTAATTTTATAGCACTTTGATGTTTCGTTAAATCTGCGTTGTCTGTCCCTCTTGAGACCCTCCGCACAAGATACTTAATGAAACTTTGAAGTGTTATAAAATCAAAACTGTTTGAGATAGAGGAGGGAAATTTAAAGGGGGTTCTTTCAACCACATGGGAAGGGTGTACACCAAGTTTCATCAAAATCTGAGATGGAGAGTGACATGACCTTGTTGAAATGGTAGCATAAGACAGGGCTCCCCCATAGTCCCGCTGGCCCTATGCCTAGAAAGCACAGCTCCAAGTGCTTCCCCACACTTTCAAGGCATGGGTCCATGCGGTTTCCCCTTTGCCCTACTGCTTTCCCCAGAAAACCTGCTCTTTGGTGCTAAATCGGGGAAAACAGAAATCCGGAGAAAACATGATCGACGTTTGCTCCGATTCAGCAGCGAACAGCGGGTTTCCCCAGCGGAAAGTGGCAGGACAAGCGGATTTGTGGATGATCCCATAGTCCCCCTCTACTACCACAGCCTCTCGCATTCTGCATCACATTCAGACAAGAAAGGCTGCCATCAGAGGAGTTATTGGTGACTTGTGGACCAGCTGCAGATCACTCAGTCCCTGAATGCTTACTTCAGTCCAAGCTTGAGCACATTTGGGAAGCATTTGAAAGCTTGTTAGGGGGCTTAAGGTTAAGCCAGCAGAAGGGAGTAGGGGGGAGGGCTGGGGAGCGAAGGGCTTTTGCCACGCAGGTATAATGGTTTTATTTTGTTTTGCACCTATAATCTGAGCCTACAGGATTCCCCCACACACAAGCAGAACAGGCCTGATTTTCAATATGTACCTGGATCCTAAACATATGAATACATTTGCTACGATTCCACATGCCTAGCAGAAACTTCCGGGGGGCAGGCTGGGGGAGAGGGAGCAGAATCTGGAAAATATGCTCCAAGTGCCCAGCAGGTATCGTAATACCCGCCAGCTACATGCATCATGATAAACCTTCTTCTAAAGCGCACCGGTGTGGAAACAGGATGTTTAGTGGCAGATGGAATTGTTTTCCACCCATGTCTGCATCCTTGGGTTCACGCGGGTCCAAAGACATGGTTTGCTGTACAGAGACACAGCACACAACCTCCATGCTGTGCTACGAAGCCGCAACCATCCCACAGGAGCAGAACGGGCGCAAGGCTGTTCCTGGAGCACAATGTTTAAACGAGTTTTAATTACGCTGCCCTTCCGCTACCTGCTCCTGCTCCGGAGGGTAGGACTCGAACCAACGGCTCCAAGTTACAAGAAAGGAGATTCCGACTATAGCTCAGGAAGAACTTTCTGATAGTAAGAGCTGTTCGACAGTGGAATGGACCCCCTTGGAAGGTGGTGAACTCTCCTTCCTTGGAGGTTTTTAAGCAGAGGCTGGAGGGCCATTGGTCATGGACGCTTTAGCCGAGATTTCTGCATTGCAGGGGGTTCGCCCTTGGGGTCCTTTCCAACTCCACAATTCTATAATTCGTGGGCAGGGCTGAGTGTGCAAAGACAGGCTTACTCTGGGTCAGCAAAGCTGTCCCCAGTGCTTAGACAGCAGGAATGGGGACAGCTGTGGCCTCTGAGATATTGCAGGACAATGACTCTCATTATCAAAGGGGAAAGGGCTGTGGCTCAGGGGTTGTTGTTGTTTAGTCGTGTCTGACTCTTCATGACCCCCTGGACCTGAGCACGCCAGGCACTCCTGTCTTCCACTGCCTCCCACAGTTTGGTCAAACTCATGCTGGTAGCTTCCAGAACACTGTCCAAACATCTCGTCCTCTGTCGTCCCCTTCTCCTTGTGCCCTCCATCTTTCCCAACATCAGGGTCTTTTCCAGGGAGTCTTCTCTTCTCATGAGGTGGCCAAAGTATTGGAGCCTCAGCTTCACGATCTGTCCTTCCAGTGAGCACTCAGGGCTGATTTCCTTCAGAATGGAGAGGTTTGATCTTCTTGCAGTCCATGGGACTCTCAAGAGTCTCCTCCAGCACCAGAATTCAAAAGCATCAATTCTTTGGCGATCAGCCTTCTTTATGGTCCAGCTCTCACTTCCATACATCACTACTGGGGAAACCATAGCTTTGACTATACGGGCCTTTGTTGGCAAGGTGATGTCTCTGCTTTTTAGGGGTGATCAAATCTGTCAACCTCAATGTCTTTTTCTCTTATTAAGCTCAGCTCTCCACATTTCCACAACCATTTAGTTTGTCTGCTTCAAGTCCCTGAGAAAATTCATCAGCCTTTCATGCAAACGTATCCTAAGACACATTCGTTTGCAAAACAAATTCCCCCGCGTGCTGCAAATTTTGCCTTGCTTTTGACAACGTAGGCATTCTTATGCATGCTTTACCCAGGCCCACACAGGACTAGGTTAGTGAACCACACTGCAAAATTCAGGGAAGCGAGAATGTCAAAAGATGGGTCTGTTTCGGTTTGTGAATTTTCAGGTGCTGCAGGTTCAGGAAGTTCACCTTTAAATGAGAATTGAATCTCGTTTCTTCCCCCACTCCTATCCAGCGAGAGCATCTGCTTTGCATCCAGAAGGCCCCGAGCTCAATCTTGGAGCAGTGGGGTGCAGTGAAATTTTTCATAGGGGAACAGTTAGGGGCAGAGGTCCCAGGACGTCTGGACACTGTGTGCATGAGCATTGCACCTCCTCCCTCCCTAAACTGGGCAAAAGCTTCCCAGGTTTTGGGAAGGAGACACCAAGAGGGAAGGGAGCAGTTAGGGGATTAGCCTAGTCCCCCAGTTCACTGACTGCACACCGCTGGCTGGGAGAGACCCCTGCAGAACCACTGAAAGTCGGTGAGGACCATACTGAGATGGTTGGTAAATAAGGGAGCTTCCTACCTTCCTACCATGGACACGGGGCCATAGTGGCTGGGGGTTGGCAGTTCAACAATATGCAGAGCCACAGGACTCCCAGCCCAGGCCCTCTAGCCCTGCTTCTGCCCTTGAGAAAACAGACCCACTAGAGTGGTACCTCAGGTTAAGTACTTAATTTGTTCCAGAGGTCCGTACTTAACCTGAAACTGCTCTTAACCTGAAGCACCATTTTAGCTAATGGGGCCTCCTGCTGCTGCCGTGCCGCTGCTGCACAATTTCTGTTCTCATCCTGAAGCAAAGTTCTTAACCTGAAGCACTATTTCTGGGTTAGCGGAGTCTGTAACCTGAAGCGTATGTAACCTGAGGTACCACTGTAATTCCAGAGGGCTATACCTGAAGGAGCGTCTCCAACCCCATCGTTCTGCCCGGACACTGAGGTCCAGCTCCGAGGGCCTTCTGGCGGTTCCCTCACTGAGATTAGTGAGGTTACAGGGAACCAGGCAGAGGGCCTTCTGGGTGGTGGTGCCTGCCCTGTGGAACGCCCTCCCACCAGATGTTAAGGAAATAAACAACTATCTGACTTCTAGAAGACATCTGAAGGCAGCCCCTGTTTAGGGAAGTTTTTAATGTTTGATGGTTTATTGTGTTTTTGATGTTCTGTTGGGGGCTGCCCAGAGTGGCTGGGGAAACCTATCCAGATAGGCAGGGTATAAATTATTAAATTTATTATTATTATTATTACTACTACTACTATTCCCAAAGTACCCTGCTAGATCAGATCACAGCTGTAGTATCTCAAATTCCTCAGGGAAGTCCACAAGTGGAGGTTGAAGGAAATCAGTGGCCCAGACTGCCTCTGAACCCGGAGGCTCACTTTTATAGCCATTAATCGGCACAGTCTTCCTGCTGAATCCCTCTTTACAGCCAACCAAAACGAATAGACTGTGCATCCAACATAGATGTTCCTAATTGCAAGGCGCCCTCTAGTGGCCACAGCATTTCTTAAAATAAAATTAAAAGATTTCATCTGATCATGGGCACAGAGGGCGATCCTGAGATTCTCCCTCCTCCAGAGCCAGTGTGGCGCAGTGGTTAAGAGCGGTGCACTCGTAATCTGGGGAACCGGGTTCGCATCTCCGCTCCTCCACATGCATCTGCTGGGTGACCTTGGGCCAGTCACACTTCTCTGAAGTCTCTCAGCCCCACTCACCACACAGAGTGTTTGTTGTGGGGGAGGAAGGGAAAGGAGATTGTGAGCCGCTTTGAGACTCCTCCAGGTAGTGATAAAGCGGGATATCAAATCCAAACACTTCCAGTTGCCCACCAGCTTAGATGGCTTTGAAAGAGGATCAGACAATGGCTACCAGCCCAGACAGCTCTGCTCTGACTCTGCAGTCGAAGGCAGAAATGCTTCTAAATACCAGTTGCTGGAAACAGCACGAAGGGAGAGGGCTCCTGCTTGCTGCATCTGGTTGGCCACAGTGAGAACAGGACGCTGGACTCGATGAGCTGTAGGTCCGATCCAGCAGGCTGCTTTTATTTTTTATTATTACAATACTTTCATTTTGCTGCTCCCCCTTCCCCTCTTCCTCCCTCCCAACTCCCGGATGAGGGACTCAAGGCGGCGGTGGCACTGAGAGGACTGGAAGGCCCCCGGCGACAGCGGGTTCAGCTTGAGCAAGGAGGGGCGAGCGCTCGCCGGCTGGCTCCAGCCTGGCAAGAGGAGGAGGCGAATTCTGTCGCCTCCACTGTGGGGGCCCCAGACTCCCCTCCCTGGGCACCAATGGGGAGAACGATGGAGCTCCAGTCCGCGCTTTTACTGCGGAGACAGCTGACATGTCAGTTCGTCCGTTGGTCAGTTGGGGCAACACAAAATGTTTAGGGGTACGCATCCCTCTGTGTCCCCCCAGAAAAAAAGCACTGATTATAATTCATTATGGGAAGCAGGTGGCGCTGTAGTCTAAAGCACAGCACCTAGGGCTTGCCGATCAGAAGGTCGGCGGTTCGAATCCCGGCGACAGGGTGAGCTCCCGTTGCTCGGTCCCTGCTCCTGCCAACCTAGCAGTTCGAAACCACGTCAAAGTGCAAGTAGATAAATAGGTACCGATCCGGCGGGAAGGTAAACGGCGTTTCCGAGCGCTGCTCTGGTTCGCCAGAAGCGGCTTAGTCATGCTGGCCACATGACCCGGAAGCTGTACGCCGGCTCCCTCGGCCAATAAAGCGAGATGAGCGCCGCAACCCCAGAGTCGTCCACGACTGGACCTAATGGTCAGGGGTCCCTTTACCTTTATCTTATATTTCACACGCTGTTGATTGCCCTGGCCTCCAAACAAACAAACAAATGTTAACCCCGACTTACGTCTCGTAGATGTGCCCGTTCTCCACCCTCTCCTCCACGTAGGCCAGGGCTCGGACGTGCATCGGCGAGTGGGGGAATGCAGCGTGGATCCATGGCAGCCCAAAGATGGAGAGCCCTATGTTGATCAGAGCCACAAGGAGGAGGTCCCAGTGATAAGCTGTTCCCTTCACTAACCTGAAATAAACTCTTGTTAGTACAGTTGTAAATACATGCTAGCCAGGAGGTGGCAGCAAGTAGACCCAAGTCAGAACAGCACCCCCCCCCCAAATGCACAGCAAGCCTCTTGGGTCACACAGAGCATTATGCACTTGGGAAACAAGAGACTTAAGAGAATCACAGAAAACCATAATGGCCAGCTTGCTCACTGGGGCAAAACGGTTAGAGCATCTTACACCGATCCTGGCCCAATTGCACTGGCTGCCTATTAGTTTCCGGGCCCAATTCAAAGTGCTGGTTTTGACCTATATAGACTTAAGTGGCTCAGGACCGCAATACGTCAAGGACCGCCTCTTTCCATGTGAACCTACCGAGACCCTGAGATCATCTTCTGAGACCCTCCTTTGTGTGCCTCCTCCTCGAGAAGGCCGGAGGGTGGCAACACGAGAACAGGGCCTTCTCTGCAGTGGCTCCCTGTTTGTGGAATGCTCTCCCCAGGGAAGTTCGCATGGCGCCGCCTTCATTATACAACTTTATGTGCCAGGCAAAGAAGTTCCTCTTCCACCAGGCCTTTTGGCTGATTGACATCTAATGCCCTTTTAAATGTGTGGAGATTAATGGTTTGTTTCTGTTCTTATTTTTATTATGTATTTTGTGTTTTATATTGTAATTTTATCTTGTGAACCACCATGATATCTATGGGTATAGGGCAGTATACACATTTAATAATAATAATAATAATAATAATAATAATAATAATAATAATAGAATCAATGAGTTGGAAAGGACCACGAGGAACAGTCTACTCCAACCCTCTGCAATTTAGGAAACTTTCGCCCCATATGGGGCTCAAACCCACATCCCTGAGATTAAGAGCCTCATGCTCTACCAACTGAGCTAAACTTGCTCTTGGCCTCGTCTGCATTGGGCCCACAATGACCTCTGAGCTTGTTCACATTTAATAATATTGCCCCAAACATCTCTTTTAACACAAAGCCCAGACCACAAGTCAGAAAGGATTGACTGGTTGCTGATAATGCCAAGACAAAACACTGTCAGGGTTTGAGTCTGAAGGCTGCATCTATTTACATTTAGAGGGGAAAACCCACATCATTAAAGGAGAGACTGGGAAAGGCTAGAGGCAGGGAATAATGGTAAGAGGGAGGGTGGTGCAGTGGTTAGAGCAGGGCTAGCCAGCCTGATGCCCTCCAGATTTTGTTGGACTACAATACTGTAATGGTTCTAGGGGTTGCTCGTGCGTAAGCCTGTGCCAACACCTGGCTGGGTTGCCTGAGTGAACCTTTCCTGTCCGGACAGCCACTCACCCGTGGCTGTCTCAATCGCTGGCAGAATCCGCCAGTGGGCGTTTCTTAAACTTCTTCCAGCAAAGAAGCTCTTTGACGCCCAGTCTCCTCCTACTCTCCCTGCACGGAAGCCTTCTGCGCAAGGAGGGCGTAGGCAGCGGAGGACCCTTCCTCCCCCCGCTGGTTCCCGGCAAGGAGTCATGTGACTCCCTCTCAGATTCCCCCATCTGCCCCCCTTCTCCACTGGAGCTGAGCTGATTCCCTTCCCCAGAAGATGGGCTGCTTCTCCCGATCCCAGGACGCTCTCTGGGATCCCTCTGGAGTTCTCTCTCTCCCTCCGGCACTGATGGCAGTTCCCTGACAAATACCCAACATCCTTGACTCTTGGCCATGTTGGCTGTGGCTAATGGGAGTTGGAGTCCAACTGCCACCTTTTATTCCTCCATGTCTGAGTGTCAGGCTACAGCTTGGAAGACTAGGGTTCAAATCCAGCCTTTGCCAGGAAGCCCACTGGGTGACCTTGGGGGTCAGACCCTGTCTCTCAGCCTAATCTACCCCCACAGGGTGGTTGTGGAGATTAATTGGGAAGGGGAAAGGATGTACTCCACCTTGAGTAACTTGAAGGAACTGTGGGACACAAGTGGAATGAATGAATGAATGGATGAATGAATGAATGATGTTGCAGCTGATAGACCAGCGAGGAGCCTTGGGCTCAGGACAGTTTCAGAAGTCCTCATCCTTAAGAAGAGGCAACTTAAAATTGGCTGCAGTTGATGAATGGTGATGGCAAATTTCAAGTGATGGAGAGGCGAGCGTGGACACCCAGAGACAAGTCCAAGATGGAGCTCTGGGCTGAAAAAACAGGGTCTTGGGCTAAGCCCTTGACCAGGTAAGAGTCATGGGACTGGCAGAGCTGCTTCCCTGGGAATTGTGAGATCAGGTGCCTGCACCAGACCAAGCTGTGTGCATTTTTCTGGGTGACTCTCCAGATCTGTCTTCTAAGGGCACAGGGCCTCCTGTTCCCAGAAAATGGGGGCACAGAGCCCTTTGTGGGGAGAAGGCCAGAACAGGGCAATGGGAAGTCAGAACTAAGACCTGGGAGGCCCCCCCGCCAATGCATCTGAGGCCTTTGATGCACATGTGAAAAGCTGCAAATAGGTGGTCGAGGAGTGTGGGGATATTTGAAGAGGTGCAAAGCGTGCACCAGTGGCCGCCTCCTCTGGTATGCCCCACAGAGGACCTTACAGTCTGCAAACAACAACACTCTGAAGATCCTGGGCCCAAGAGAAATTAGACTGGCCTTGACTAGAGCCAGGGCCTTTTCAGCTGTGGCCCCGGCCTGGTGGAACTTTCTTCCACAAGAGACTAGGGCCCTGCGGGATTTGACATCTTTCCGCAGGGCCTGCAAGATGGAGCTGTTCCGCCAGGCCTTTGGCCAGAGGGCCTTTGCTCAGGGGGCAGTCTGACCTGCTTTCCTTTGAATAAGAACAAGCATGAAGGAGGCCTCCCAGCCTGTTCACTGGTACTATATGATCAGCGAAAACATTTGGTCCTGGCAAGTATTAACTGCTCTCAATCTTAACTTGATAACAGCCATTTGTCCAGATTTTAATTTGTCTGAATTAATTTTAAGATGTTTTTAATTTATTGATGCCTATTTTTATGTATACTGTGGTTTTTTGTATGATGCTAGCCGCTCTGAGCCTGGCTTTGGCTGGGGAGGGCGGGGTACAAATAAATTATTATTATTATTATTGTACCTCTGGTTGCGAATGGGATCCGTTCCAGAGCCCCGTTCGCAATATGAGCAGAATGCAACCCGTGTCTGCACGTGCTGCGATTCGCCGCTTCTGTGCATGGCGTAATTTTGAGCATCTGCGCATGCGCAAGCGGCGAAACCTGGAAGTAACCCTTTCCGGTACTTCCAGGTCACCGCGGGACACAACCTTTAAATCCCTAAACGGCCTCAGTCCAGTATACCTGAAGGAGCGTCTCCACCTCCATCGTTCTGCCTGGACACTGAGGCCCAGCTCTGAGGGCCTTCTGGCAGTTCCCTCACTGCAAGAAGTGAGGTTACAGGGAACCAGTCAGAGGGCCTTCTCGGTAGTGGCACCCGCCCTGTGGAACGCCCTCTCATCAGATGTCAAAGAGAAGAACAACTACCAGACTTTTAGAAGGCATCTGAAGGCAGCCCTGTTTAGGGAAGCTTTTAATGTTTAATAGGTTCTTGTATTTTAATTTTCTGTTGGAAGCCGCCCAGAGTGGCTGGGGAAACCCATCCAGATGGGTGGGGTATTAATAATAATAATAATAATAATTATTATTATTATTATTATTATTATTATTAGACACCATCTCTCTCTCTCTCAACCAATACAGAAAGAAAAAATTCAGAAAGCCTCCTGTCGGATAGGAAGAGGAAGAAAAAATAATGCCGTCTCCCACAAGCCAACATCTGACGCTCCGCTTGGTTCTAGTTAGCTCAGAAACATCAAAGGGAATTCTCAAGCGCTGCAGAGCCTGTGCATAAATCAGGGCTCTCCGCTGGATAAACGCAAGAAGCACGTTCCATTTCTTGGCCTACTTTCAGTTCACCCGCCCGCTGGGCGGCTCAGAGGGAGACACAAGCACCGGGGGGAACGAAGCGACGATGACGGCAGCAGCAGCAGCAGCGTGGGAGAGCAGCTCCGTGGCGCAAATCCCTTTGAGAGCTGCGCTGCCTTGTGGACCGGAGAGGAGGGTGGGAAGCATTTGGTTGGCCACTGTGAGAAAGCCACTTCCACCCTGCAAAGAAGGTGGTGTTGCGGGCTTCACGCCCCCAGCCCCCAGGCGATTGGGGGAATCCTCGGCCAGCCAATCCTCGGCCAGCCAATCAGCTGGCTCAGGGGGCGTGCCCTGCCCTATTTAAGGAAGGACACGGCCGGGGATCTCTCTCTTTGCTGTTCTCTTTGCTATCAGCTGTTCCAGCTTTTCCCACCCTCCCGCCCTATAAGGTTTTCCTTCTTGGACCTTGCTATGGACCTTGGTTGGTCGCCACTGAGGGGCCTGGTAGGATTTTCTTCCACTTGGCAAACTGGCACCAGCCACTTGGTTTTCGCCTGCCTGGTAGCAAATCGTCACAACTTTCTGGGTATTGGCAGTTAGGCATTGGTATAGTTCTGTAGATGGAAGAGGGGATGAAGCGCCATCACCTGCCCCCCATATTGAAGGATAGTCCATTAAAGGATTCCGGGGGGCGTGGCCCCATCTGAAGCCTAGGGAGTTGAGGGCCTAAGGCATGCCCCCTATCGGTGACCCCGGGGGAGTTCCTAGTTGATGTGCATCAGCAGGACTCCCCCCACTGGTGGATAACCCTTCCCAGACTTCAAGCGGACAGGGTGAAGTCGGATATAGTCGATTAGGACCAATGCCTAAGCCAATACCGCTCATCACCTGTAACCAATAAAGTTGTGGCCTTATTTAGCCCACTAACCTTAATAATTGTGTTATATGTCATTATTTCCACTGGGGGGTGGGGGGACTTGCCACGCAACAGGATGTTGGGCTAGTTGGGCCACTGGCCTGATAGACATGGCAGCCAGACTCTTACGTCTCTGCGCTGGTCTCTATCTCTGGCTGAAAGGGATTCTGGATATACCGGCCTCTTAATTCATATTCACCGCCTTCGGTCAATGCTGCCTGGCATGTGGGGGACCAGAGCAGGATGATTCTGCAGACACAGACAGACTGTAGGGGCTGGAGAGGTGTATTTACTGGACCGCCTCTCCTGGTCTGCCCCGCAGAGGAACTTAAGGTGCATGAATAACCATAGTTTAGAGGTCCCGGGCCCTAAGGAACTCAGGCTATCCTCCACCAGGGCCAGGGCCTTTTCAGTGATGGCTCCAACCTGGTGGAATGCTCTGTCCCAGGAGACCAGGGCCCAGCAGGATTTAACCTCCTTCTGCCAGGCCTGTAAAAAGTTAAAGGGAACCCTGACCATTAGGTCCAGTCGTGACTGACTCTGGGGTTGCGGCGCTCATCTCGCTTTACTGGCCGAGGGAGCCGGTGTACAGCTCATGTGGCCAGCATGACTAAGCTGCTTCTGGCGAACCAGAGCAGCACATGGAAACGCCGTTTACCTTCCCACCGGAGCGGTACCTATTTATCTACTTTGACGTGCTTTCCAACTGCTAAGTTGGCAGGAGCAGGGACAGAGCAATGGGAGCTCACCCCACCGCAGGGATTCGAACCGCCGACCTTCTGATCGGCAAGTCCTAGGCTCTGTGGTTTAACCCACAGCACCACCCGCGTCCCTCCAACAGAATATTAAAAACACATTAAAACATCAAACATTAAAAACTTCCCTAAACAGGGCTGCCTTCAGACGTCTTCTAAAAGTCATACAGTTGTTTATTTATTTGACATCTGATGGGAGGGCGTTCCACAGAGCGGGCGCCACCACCGAGAAGGCCCTCTGCCTGGTTCCCTGTAACTTGGCTTCTTGTAGTAAGGGAACCACCAGAAGGCCCTTGGAGCTGGACCTCAGTGTACGGGCAGAACGATGGAGGTGGAGACCCTCCATCAGTGTATAGTCCTCATTGTGAAGGAAGCAGAATTTCCCAGCTTGCCCCCTGCCCCTACCCCACTTCCACCTTAAACGTGGAAGAATTATAACAGGAAAGGTGAACACAAAACAGACACACACACAAAAATACCTGTTTTCTGGAGCGTTTGTGAGTGATGCCACTATATTTTGCTCGATGAAGAAAAGCATGGAGAGTAGGAACCCCAGGCCCATCGCACTCATAACGGAGCCAATGGAGAGCTCTAGGAGGGGGGCCAACACGAACAAGCTCTCCGATGGGTTGTAATTAAACTTAGACACTGAAAGACACAAACAGGCAGTTAAGGCTTCTTCAGAAACTGCTTTCCAACTGCCACAGTTTTGCGGGCAGACTTAGGCTGTGGAAAGAAAGTGGACTTGCTGCTCTTATGCAAGAAACCCATTTCCAAAGAAAGAAAAAGTAAGGGGAGGCCTTTTTGCAACAAGAACAGAGATGGGAAAATGTGCTGAACAATGGAAGATAGTAATTAATTCTCCCAGGTCTGAAACAACTATTTCCATGAAAGGCTACGCATGTGAAATGGATTTTATATTTATAAGATGTACAGAGGCGCTTTCTGTAAGGAGGAAAAAATGTGGTCAGCTGAAAGAATGGACTAACGACAAGTGAAAGATCATTAAATAAGAACATTATGGACATTAAATAAGAAATGATGCATCTATGGGAGGAAACGATCAACATATGTTTGCAACAGGAGCGAGAAACTTAATTTTAAGAAATTGCATTAAATTAAAGTAATTTGGTTTGATTTGTAATTACTTGGAAAATGAATAAAAAATAATTTGGGATAAAAGGAAAATGCGCTTGGAAGTGTGGGATAAACAATGATGTTGGGCAATGTCATATGCAACGTGAAGAACGAATGTTCAATATACGTAATAGTTGCAAATTGGTTGTCATCCGTCTGTCAATGGAAGAGTGCGCCCCTGGGGTAATAAAAAGAGGTAACACACCTGTTCAAAATTTGTGCAAACAAATCAGGATGGATCTACCACATTTGTTTGGAAAGTTGTGTGTTTGGTATACATTTGAACACTCTTGCGATATCACAACCAATGGATACCACTTTGAAACAAGATGGCGGACGGGACCTTGCAAAACTGCCCTGATCTTCCTGAGCAACCAGGGGCAAGGATTCAATGGGTCACCTGGATATAGCTGGGGATGGGAAGTGCTAATTTTGGCAGAATCTGAACCAAGGGATCATGCAACCCTGTTGGACGGAGGCAATTTTAGATGAGTAGGCAGCAGTGAACTAGCTGCAGACTTCTGTAGTGTGAAATGCAGCCTTGCAAAGTCACTTGGTCAGTTTTGCTACACTGGAGGTGGGTGGTCCAAGCCTTCTCCTTTGGAACGAACCATTCTGGAATCCCAAGCATGGTTTGACCTGCCTCTCATGCGCAAATTCGGGCCACCAGCCATGCTATGTTTAGGGAAGTTTTTAGTGTTTGATGTTTTATCGTGTTTTTAATATCCTGTTGGGAGCCGCCCAGAGTGGCTGGGGAAACCCAGCCAGATGAGTGGGGTATAAATATTATTATTATTATTATTATTATTATTCCCCCAAAATGCACATTTGGTGCAATGCATGGGACATCTGCAATTTGGACTCCGGTCCCGACAGAAGCTGTTCCCATTATCATTTTACAGTAGACATAGAGCTGCAGAATATTGCCGTTTGCTCTGAAAATGACTTCTCCCTATGGAATTGTGACCCTTAGCCAAGATCTATTCAAGATCCCTGGAGTTCCTTAGCAGTGGCACTGACTCTGGCATTCTTCCTTAAAGGATCCCTGACCATTAGGTCCAGTCATGGCCGACTCTGGGGTTGTGGTGCTCATCTCGCTTTATTGGCTGAGGGAGCCAGCATACAGCTTCTGGGTCATGTGGCCAGCATGACTAAGCCGCTTCTGGCAAACCAGAGCAGCGCATAGAAACGCTGTTTACCTTCCCGCCGGAGCGGTACCTATTTATCTACTTGCACTTTGACGTGCTTTCAAACTGCTAGGTTGGCAGGAGCAGGGACCGAGCAACGGGAGCTCACCCCGTCGTGGGGATTCAAACTGCCGACCTTCTGATCTGCAAGTCCTAGGCTCTGTGGTTTAACCCACAGTGCCACCCGCCTCCCGCATTCTTCCTTACCCTCCCCTAAACCCCACCAGGACCTACAATATCCATGCCCCCCCCTTCTTTTAAGCTACACAGCCAAAGCAAGCCTGGTCCAGCAAGGCTTGAAAAAGCATGTCCTCTAGTTCAGTGTCCTCCAAATATTGTTGGACTACAACTCCCATCACCCCCAACCCCTTGCCTAAGAGAGCTAGGGATGATGGGCACCGTAGTCAAACAGCCGATGGCGGCCCAAGGTAGAAGAAGACTGTGGACCAGTAATTGCAAGGTCAGTCTTCCCCGTTCTCCGTACGCAGCAGGAAGAACAGCTGGCAGCTGTTGTTGTTACTGGGTGTGTGATGGCGTTTGTGTGTTTGTGCGCCTGGAAACCAGAGCGGCTGTGAAAGGACTGACAGAACCCGAGACCAGGGAGAAGAGACGGTGGATGAAGATTGGAAGAAAGTTTAAAAATTTATTTAGAGAAATATTGTAAAATTAATGAGTGTTAGAAAAATGTTGGAATGAAATTATACGGCTTTAGTAGAAATGTTATAAGGAGTGAAGTATAAATAAGTTTTAGGGTTTTTTATGGTAAGATAAGGTTAAAATAAATTAAGACAATTAAATGACAGAAAACAGTGAAAGATGGAAAGGATTTGCTGAAATAATTAATAACTAGAATACAAAAAAGGGAGGTGCGAGGAGGTTGATGAAACAAGTTAATGAAAGATAAAGATATGGAAATATTGGATGTGTTTTTAATTGTTTTTGCTTTTGTTTTGATGTATTGTGTCTTTTGTTTTTATATATATATGTATTGTAATGTATTGATTTGTATTGTTTACTTTTTCTCTTTCTTTTTTACTTCTTTCTGTAATCTTAAACTTTTAATAAATATTATTTTATTTTTATTTTTAAAAAGGAAACCAGAGCGGCTGCACTCAGAAGATGGCCAAGGGCTTCAGGCAAAACACCAGAGTTAAATCTTTCATCCCTCCAGCGCTTGGGCCAGTTCCCATCTCAGCAGCTGAGTCGCATCTGAAGCTGTTCCTTTGCAAGCTGCGCAACGGGGATTTCCACAAAATACCCCACATTAGTTTGCTTTCTGACAGGTGGCAAGGGAGCAATTGTCATTAAGGAAGTCAGGGCGCAGGCATGCACACACGCAACCGAAAGCTGCCCACTTTCCAGTTCCGAATGGATGGAATGATGGTCACCTGGGGGGGGAGGTGAGAGTGGGGGGAGAGGAACCTTTCTTAATTCTCTTCCATTCATTTCCTCACACTTCCCATGCGCGTCATCACTGGGGCAGGCGATTCCTGCCTTCCTGATGTGGAAAAGGTGACCCGCTTGGCCAAGAGGGACCCTGGATAATTTTTCAGGTTTCCTTGTGCATCTGATCGTCCTAGCAGATGTACCAGGCCATCAGCACGTTTCAATTAGGAAAAATATTAAGTGGCGGGCGGAGGGAAAAGCTCACAGGTCAAACCCATCACCAGAACATCTGTAGGTTTGCTGACAAGTCTTCCTGCCTTTGGCAATTAGGAGAGCCTTTTGTTCCCTTGCCAGAACTATACGGAGGATCAGGTCTTTAATAATAATAAACAATGCAAAAAAAGCGGCATTTTAATTACGCTGAAATTAAATTACAGGCTGGAATAACTCGCAGGAACAAAACAAACCCAGCTGATACCATCTCGTCTGATTAGCTCGCCGCATGAATTAACGCCGACTGTGAACTTGGGAGGTGATTATTTGGGTTGGGGGGGGGTCAGGCGGGGAAGCTCTGGGGTTTGGGAGTCACAATTCTGAGCTATACCTTCCTCAGGCATGATTGCGATCCCAAAAACCTCCCGGCTGCGAGGAGACCAAAGACTTACTTGTTATTTCCTTGAAGAAATAAGACCCCACAGCGGAAAAGGTTAGGACAGAAATGGGCAAGGCACAGTCGGACAGGATTTCGCGGACTCTGGCGTGCAAATAAGGGCTGCAAGGATAAATATATAAAAAAATACTCAAGTCGGGGCAGAGGAATACAGCATTTCTACTTCAGGGGCTTAAAATGGCAGAATGGCGGGTGGTTATACAGAACTGGTCCTACTCAGAGCAGACCTGCTCACCTGGCTTGAGAGCAGTACATGTGAAAAGGATCTAGGAGTCTTGGTTGACCACAAACTTGACATGAGCCAACAGTGTGACGCGACAGCTAAAAAAGCCAATGCAATTCTGGGCTGCATCAATAGGAGTATAGCATCTAGATCAAGGGAAGTAATAGTGCCACTATTACTGTCAGACCTCACCTATGATTCGATGATTCTATGATTCTATTCTATGACCCAGCTGGATAAGTTAGTGGGTTAGAGCATGGTGCTGCTGCAGATAATCATAACCCCCCCCCCCCCGGAATCCTTATGGACATAGGATGGATGAACCAATTTAGACTGCTTTTATTTCTAAGTTTGCATCTATATTTCTAGCAAAGGGAGGAGTAAAATCAGATTAACTAACCAACACACAGCACATAAGCCAAGTTAAAAATACTTGAAACACAGATTATTATTTTTTTTAAATAGACCTGGAGATGCCAAGGTTTGAACTTGCGAACTTCTGCATATCTAGGTATTCAATTTGTATACTGTCCTCCTTATGTAGATCTCAGGACAGTTCACAACATATAAAGCAGCATTTTATCATTGAGCCACAGGCCTTCCCCTTCAATCTAATGTACCGGGTTCTAAGATGTTTGCAACCCACCAAGTATTGGTACTATGTCTGGCTTTGCTATTCCATTTTTATTTTTGCTGCTCTAAAGGTAAAGGGACCCCTGACCATTAGGTCCAGTCGTGACCGACTCTGGGGTTGTGGCGCTCATCTCGCTTTATTGGCCGAGGAAGCCGGCGTACAGCTTCTGGGTCATGTGGTCAGCAGGACTAAGCTGCTTCTGGCGAACCAGAGCAGCGCACGGAAATGCCGTTTACCTTCCCGCCGGAGCAGTACCTATTTATCTACTTGCACTTTGAGGTGCTTTCAAAGGTGCTAGGTTGGCAGGAGCAGGGACCGAGCAACGGGAGTTCACCCCGACGCGGGGATTCGAACCGCCGACCTTCTGCTCGGCAAGTCCTAGGCTCTGTGGTTTAACCCACAGCGCCACCCGTGTCCCAGCTTTTTTTGGGTTGCTTTTTTTTGCTGCTCTACAACTCCCATAATTCCTCATCGCTGGTCATGCCGACTGGGGCCAATGGGAGTTGAATGCCAGCAATACCTCGAGGGCCACGGGCTCCCCATCACCTTTGACATACCTTTTCTTAAACTGATACAGCGTGTGACCGAGCCAAAGGGTTCCCAGCATCAGCATGAGACTAAGAACGGCTGTCTCTCGCCCATACTGCGTAGCGGCAGGGGGGGCGTCCGTCTGGTTCCCCAGCGCCGAGCGCTCAGCTGACATGTTCAAGAAGAAGGTGGTGTTATCAATTGGTGTGCTGTGCACTCTCGGGAAATGGTAGTACTTTGTAAAAACTAAAACAGAGAGGGAGAGAGAGAGAGAAGAAAAACGAGTACATTTTAATAGAAGCCAGGCCCGTGGCACCCATAGGTGGGGCTGGGGCAGGGACAAGGGCGAGGAGAACTTGTTTCTTGTTCCAGAGGATCACACAATCTTTCTTGGTTTTCAAACATAATCCGTTCCAAAGACCGTTCGTCTTCCAAAATGTTTGAAAACCGAGGCCTGCTAATTCAATAGAGAAAATTGTGAAAAACAACAGATACACGCAGAGGAAGCTGTTAAACTTCCGAGGTGTGTTCAAAAACGGAAGCATTTTCTTCCGGGTTTTTGGCGTTCGAAAACCAAAACATTCGGCAATGGGGACGTTCGAAAACCAAGCTACCACTGTATTACCTTCTCTGCTCTTTCCAAGAAAAGGAAGACATCTTTGGTCAAACTACATGCTAGGCTCAGCACACAAGGTTTCTCTTTGTCAGGAGTGAGCCAGCAGTGAATCACCCAAACAAGCTTGAGTCTTTATTAGCAGAAAGCAGGATCTGCAGAGGGGTGTCATGCCTAATGAGCACAGCGACTCAACGCCGGCAGGTCTTTCCGCCATGAAGCAGTTGCTCAGACTGATGTTCCTCACCTCCCCACAGCTGCCTATGTCCCCTTCTCTCCAGGGTTTTCCCCCAAGCAATCTGAGACTGTGCCTACGTGACCCTAATTTCTCCTCTGCCCTCTTCATGCCTCTCCTGGTCCTGGGAGACAAATGGGGAGGGGAGCTTGTCGCAGCAGGAATAGGAAATAGCCATGACTCTTCACCAGCTGGACTCATCTCTGCCTCTTGGTCTCCGTCCTCCTCCACTTCAGTTTCTGATTCTGATTCTCCCTGCCACAGACTCTCCCAGTCTGTGAAATATGATATTCGTCTCATATTTCGAAGGCTTTGCATCGGGAGCCTGACCTAAATCCAGAAGTGTCTAGTCTTGCTCGCTCAGACACCTTTAAGACGCTCCATCTCTCTCACATAAAACCACACAAAATATGGCGCTGGTTAGAATCACTGTTTATGCAAAGTCCGGGGTTCCGTCAGGTGGAGACGATTTTTCTGCCTGCCAGAGAGAGATTGTTCTCGCAGAAAGAAGACAAGAGTCGTGAAGGGAACAAGCTGACATAGGTCATGCACTGGCTGAAAGGGTATACAAAACAGGACAATGCCTCCAAGCCCAGCCTTTCAGTGAGTTAAAAGAGCTGCAGACCCTTTTAAGAGATCATGAAGTTAACAGGTAAAGATGCTGAGCAGTGGACAACAGTGTAGATGTGCTCTCACGCAAGAGCCGGCTAAGCACAGGTGTTTGCTAACCATTGTTCCACAGTTCAATTGTTGTTCCCTGGAAGCTCATGTACGTCATTTTAATATATAACCTAAGATCTGATGTGTGCACCTTTGAAACGCCACGCGATATATACGTCTGTAGAAAATGGCTGATCTTTACGTCATGTTCCTATTCTTTGGATGAATAAAGCCAACTTTTGCCAATAACACCTAGGGTCTCTGCTCCTTTGTCTGTGCACATGAAGAACTCCATAAAACGGCGACTCCCTAATTTTTCTATATGATTTGTGTTGCATTTGTGATGTTCTATGATGGGGGTTGGCAACCTAAGGCCTGTGGGCCAGATGCGGCCCAATCGCCTTCTCAATCCGGCCCGTGGACGGTCTGGGAATCAGTGTGTTTTTACATGAGTAGAATGTGCCCTTTTATTTAAAATGCATCTCTGGGTTATTTGTGGGGCATAGGAATTCGTTCATTCCCCCCCCCCCCCGAGAGCCAGTGTGGTGTAGTGGTTAAGAGCGGTAGTCTCGTAATCTGTTGAACCGGGTTCGATTCCCTGCTCCTCCACATGCAGCTGCTGGGTGACCTTGGGCTAGTCACTCTTCTCTGAAGTCTCTCAGCCCCACTCACCTCACAGAGTGTTTATTGTGGGGGAGGGAGGGAAAGGAGAATGTTAGCTGCTTTGAGACTCCTGAAGGGTAGTGATAAAGCGGGATATCAAATCCAAACTCTTCTTCTTCTTCTCCCCCCCCCAAAAAAAATAGTCCGGCCCACCACATGGTCTGAGGGACGGTGGACAGGCCCATGGCTGAAAAAGGTTGCTGACCCCTGTTCTGTGATGTTCCATCATCTTACTGTCTTTTATTGTTCGTAAGCCGCTTTGCAATTCGTTTCACTGAAAAGCGGCATAAAAATGTAATAAATTATTTTCTTTAAGCGTCAGGCAAAAACATTCCTCTTCTTCCAGGTTTTTGGCTGATTAGCCAATCTATGGCCTTTTAAATTCTGTGGTGGGGAAGGTTTTTGTTTGTTATTATGGTATGGTTTTTGTGTTTTTGTACTGTAAACCGGCCTGTGATCACTGGATGAAGGGTGGCATAGAAATTAAATAAATACATAATAATAAAATGATAATAATAAAGTGGGGAACTTGTGGCTGTCGGCTGGAATGCTCCAGGGAACCCAAGGCCACAGCCCCCGGCCCTTTTCGCAACATTCTCTTCCAAGATTTGCATCTCCGTCCCTATCTATGCTCGCTTGGAGCTTTAATAATAATAATAATAATAATAATAATAATAATAATAATACTTCATTATTTGTACCCCACCCATCTGGCTGGGTTTCCCCAGCCACTCTGGGCAGCTTCCACAGAGACCAAAAATACACTAAAATGTCACACATTAAAAACTTCCCTGAACTTCCCTGCCTTAAGATGTCTTCTGAATGTCAGGTAGTTGTTTATCGCTTGGACATCTGATGGGAGGGTGTTCCACAGGGCGGGTGCCACCACCGAGAAGGCCCTCTGCCTGGTTCCCTGTAACTTGGCTTCTCGCAATGCGGGAACCACCAGAAGGCCCTTGGCGCTGGACCTCAGCGTCCGGGCAGAACGATGGAGGTGGAGACGCTCCTTCAGGTATCTGATTCAGGTATCCATTGACACCAGCAGAACTTATTTCCAGCTTTGTGCTGCTGGGCTGGGGAAGACTGTCGTCCAAGCTGATGGCCACATTCCTATCTGGGCAAGAGTAAGAGCCACGCCCATTGCCCCACCCACTTCTGCTCCTGGCCCCACCCACTGCCATGTGGCCCCTCAAAGGTTGCTTACAAGGAAGGTGGCCCTCAGGCTGAAAAACACCCCCCACTGCTGATCTCTGGCACTACAAGCATGGGGGATAGCTCAGTCGGTAGGGACTGAGACTCTTAATCTCCAGGTTGTGGGTTTGAACCCTATGTGGGGTGGAAAATTTCTGAATTATAGGGGGGGTTGGACTAGATGACCCTTGTGGTCCCTCCCAACTATCCTAAGCACACGCTCTGTCTCCTGCTCCCATTTCTCGGTTCGTGATAACTGACTGGCAGGTTATCTCCCCAAGCCCGCCACGTAATTAGGAATTTAGTATTTAATATTCAACTGCTGCTTATTAACAACTTTCGGCTGATGCGGCCCAGGAGGACAGCTGAAGGGATCCCTCTCTGCACAAAAATTGATTAAGAGATTGCCCTTTAAATAACACAAAAGGCGTCTCCTGACCAAAGCAGAGCTGTGGCGGCTTCGGGGAGTTATTTAAGGTCCCTCTGATGTTGTTTGCTTCAGCTGCTGCCTGGCTGTTTCCTGCAAAGTGCAGAAGTCAAGATCAAACAGGAGTGCAGCTTAGGTGGCTGAGCCACAACTTTGGAAAACAAAGTGTCATTAAGCTGGTGAGAAGAATGTGGGGCTTGAATGTGATGAGATTTTAAAAAGAGAGGGAGAGGGAAACCTCCCACGCCTCTTTCCTGCAGAGCCGCTGGACCAGCGGAGCTTTAGAAATTAGGAGAGATATTCAACTGATCTTCCCGTTGGAAGGAAATGGGTCATACACAGGGATGGAAAAGGACACGGCCTCCCCCCTCCAAGCCCCCAGCAAGCGAGTTCCGAAAAAAACAACCGGGGGGTTAATGAGGGCTAGAGATTCTGGTTATTCCGTACATCTGCAGACCACAGAGGCAGAGGAAAACAACTCATTTCTTGCACTCGTTTGTGGGCAGAGGAAATTGCGAACATTCACGCCTTACATTCGAAGCACTTTCACCCCACTTTAAGCTGTCATGGTTTCCACCCAAAGAATTCTGGGAGTCGTAGCTTGTTAAGGGTGCTGGGAGTTGTGAGGAGACCCCCCATTTCCCCTCAAAAAACTACAGTTCCCAGATTGATTTGCTGATCAATCCCTCTTCACACAGAGCTCTGGGAACTGTAGTTCCGTGAATGGAACAGGGGGGTCTCCTAACAACTGTCAGCACCCTTAACAGACTACGTCTCCCAGGATTCTTTGGGGGAAACCACCAGTTTAAAGTGGTGTCACAGAGCTTTAAATTTATGGCGTGAATGTGTGAGGCAGCTTTTTGCCGGCCCGGCGCACCCTAAATGTTCTGGGCCTCAGCCTCTCAACCAGCAACCGCTATGAGAGGCCTCCAAATTGAACTTGCTTTTTAAGGTTAGGAGTCCAACCGTTCAGCAGATCTGCGGTATGATCTGTGCTGATTCTACCCTTTGGAATCACAGCACAAAAACAAGGCACGAATGAAGGTCCTCAGTTCCAAAAACTTTCCACACCTCGTTCTACAAAGCCTTTTTTGCATGACTGAAGAACAGAATAACTGCAGATGGTGACAGCAGTCACGAAATTAAAAGACGCCTGCTTCTTGGGAGAAAAGCAATGACAAACCTAGGCAGCATCTTAAAAAGCAGAGACATCACCTTGCCAACAAAGGTCCGTATAGTTAAAGCTATGGTTTCCCCAGTAGTGATGTGTGGAAGTGAGAGCTGGACCATAAAGAAGGCTGATCGCCGAAGAATTGATGCTTTTGAATTCTGGTGCTGGAGGAGACTCTTGAGAGTCCCATGGACTGCAAGAAGATCCAACCTCTCCATTCTGAAGGAAATCAGCCCTGAGTGCTCACTGGAAGGACAGATCCTGAAGCTGAGGCTCCAATACTTGGGCCACCTCATGAGAAGAGAAGACTCCCTGGAAAAGACCCTGATGTTGGGAAAGATGGAGGGCACAAGGAGAAGGGGACGACAGAGGACGAGATGGTGGGACAGTGTTCTCGAAGCTACAAACATGAGTTTGACCAAACTGCGGGATGCAGTGGAAGACAGGAGTGCCTGGCGTGCTCTGGTCCATGGAGTCATGAAGAGTTGGACACGACTAAACAACAACAACAAAAGAACAGAAGGCTGCAACAGCACAACTCCTCGTGGCTTCCACAACCAACAACAAAGAGAGTCACCTGTTGCCTGGCTTACCTTTCGTTATGCCCTTGAGAGCATCAAGGACAAATGTGATGGAGATAAAAAGTGCAATGATTTCTTCCGTCGACCTGCGAAGAAATTCCATGTGGGTCATTGAATATGAGTTACAAGGTCTTATTTGCATCAGCGTTTTAAAATATATTTTAAGGGAAAAAGCAAGGGGTGAAACCCTACGCCAAAGGATAAATGGACATCAATCTGACATCAGGAATCACAAGACAGAGAAACCAGTAGGAGAACCCTTCAATCTCCCAGGACATTCTATACAAGATCTCAAAGTAGCTGTCGTGTTACAAAAGAATTTCAGAAACAGACTGGAAAGAGAAGTTGCTGAATTACAACTTATTACCAAACTTAAAACCACGGAGAGACCTGGTCTGAATGAAGATATTGGATTTTTATCTCATACATGATAAAGCTATTTTTGGCCATCTGATCCCTTGCTTTTTCCTGTAAGACCAATTGCAGTCGTTAACAGTCGTCAACAGGTTTACCACACCTATCAGCCAATCACCCATTCCCACCACCCTTCTGAGAAAACCCCACCCCACCCTCTCCCTATATATAAGGGTCTGGTGACTTCTGTTTCAGTGTATCTGAAGAAGTGTGCATGCACACGAAAGCTCACACCCAGAACAAACTTAGTTGGTCTCTAAGGTGCTATTGGAAGGAATTTTATTTTTTTTAAAAAATAATTTCATGTTGGTGACACACTTTTTAGACATGCATCCTTTCGTGACACAGTAATTCAGTTTTACTAGCAAATGGGAGGTTAAATGAACCCCTTTCCAGTCCCGTGAGGAGCACGGGGAGCGTTCGTGTGACACACCTACACACTGAAGTGTTGCGAAACACAGTTTGGAAAGCTCCAGACTAGATGATCCTCAGGGTCCCTTCCAAGTCTATCATCCTATGGTGGCAATTTCCCGCCTACCAAAGTGGTGGAGATACAGTGGTGCCTCGCAAGACGAAATTAATTCGTTCCGCGAGACTTTTCGTCTTGCGATTTTTTTCGTCTTGCGAAGCATGGTTTCGGAAAAGTTTTGGAAAAGCTTCAAAAATCACCAAAGTCTTCAAAAACCTCAAAAAAGGCTACCACACCGCGTTCTATGAGTTGCTCCTCGAAGTCAAGTTGCAACTGTATTAACGGTGTTAAGAAAAAGGAAACAAACTTGCAAGACGTTTCCGTCTTGCGAAGCAAGCCCATAGGGAAAATCAAAAACTCAAAAAACCAAAAACCCTTTCGACTTGCGAGTTTTCCGTCTTGCGAGGCATTCGTCTTGCGAGGTACCACTATAATGTGAGGAGTTACCTTTTGAAGAGCTTCATTACAAGACTGAAATTGAAAAGGGAGTAGAGCATCAGGAAGAAACTGTTCCAGAGTCCCACCCAGGCGTAGAAAGCGCGAAATTCCAAGTTGTAGTCAGTGCAGATCCCTTTGATCACTGGAAACGAAAAGAGCATCATGACACAAAGATAGAAATGTACCAATGGCAGCCTCAGCTAACCAAATACAACAACCAGCCACATACAAGAATTAGGTTCCTGTGTTTTTATATTGTAAACCACCCTGTGATCCTTGGAAAACGGGCAATATATAAATATAGTCAATAATAATAAGTATATAAAAGTAATATTCTACGCCTAAAGTAACCAGCACATAAACAATTGCATGCAACAACGCGTGCAGTTGCACAAAGAAGGCATGTGCATGAATATAGTTATTAAATCATGCTGCAGAACTGTAGTGCCACATGGGGCTTGATTTGTTTATACATATTGTAAACATGCAACAACAACAACAACAAAAACAAAAACAAAAACAACTTTTATTTTATACCCTACCCATCTGGCTGTGTTTTCCCAGCCACTCTGGACGGCTCCCAAGACAATATTTAAAAACACGCTAAAACGTCAAACACGTAAAAACCTTCTTAAACAGGGCTGCCTTCAGATGCAACACAAGCAGCTGGAGCGACAAACTCACCATTGATGTAGAGCGCTAAAGGAGCCGTCGTCAACAGCACCACAAGCGGCTGGCCTGAGAACAGCGCATAGAGCAGACCACCAATGCACTGGCCAACGATGGTTTTCTGCACATCTGAAAAGTTAGGAAAGGAGGACAGGGGAGCGGGGATAGAAAGATGAATTTGCAAGAATCGGGTGGCTGTCGAAGCAAGCTTGCGTTAAATGACGGCACCACTGATGGTGCAAAGAGCACAGTGCACTATGCACACTGGTGCAACAGACATGCTCAAAGCATTAGCTAGGAGCGGAGCTGTGGGAGAATGGACTGTCACACTGGACACAGTTGTGTAGAAGTCTGCATCTTTTGTGGTGCGAAAGCAAAACAGTTACAAAGTCTCTCCTTCTCCTTATAACAGTCTTCTCTTTAGCACTGCAGCCGCAGTGCCTGCACTGCATATATCTTTAAAAAAAGAATCCTAACAAAGAACGGTGGAACTGGATGCAGTGTTCAGAACCAACTTCAGATTTTCAGCTTTCAAGAAAGCTTGCAGTCCATCTGACACTGAAGAACCACATGCAAACAATGAGCGTGGAAATCTCAGGAACCGGGAAGGCTGGGTCTGGGTCTAATTTCCAGGGGTTGGGGGCGAGTCTTTGATACTTCTGATTAGCAAAGCCAGAATAAATAACATTAATAAACACGGCTTGCTTTCATACAAGCAGTCAAGGCAGTTTTACTCTTTTAAGGCGCTGCTAACTTCTCGCCCTTTTTCGATTGTACTGGATATTTTCCAATAATAATAATAATTTATTACTATCATGCATTGCTTTCTGTTTTTGCAAGCCACTGTGAACTGGAAAAAGCAGATTATAAACGCTGAAATGAAGCATGTGTGATGCAAAGCTATAGCGAACCTGCAAATTTGCTCCATTTGTACTTTTTCATCAGAGCAAGCCAATGGGCTTGACTTCTGATATACCAGCGGGTGAAGGCGCCATGCACTCTGCTGGCCCTCAAACCAGTTCTGGGCGATATACCGATACATCGCCCAGGCCTAGTGTGCATGTGTGCGAACAACTAGTCTAATCTAAGCAGTAAGCTTATATTGGGACGCGGGTGGCGCTGTGGGTTAAACCACAGAGCCTAGGACTTGCCGATCAGAAGGTCAGCAGTTCGAATCCCCGAGATAGGGTGAGCTCCCGTTGCTCAGTCCCTGCTCCTGCCAACCTAGCAGTTCGAAAGCACCTCAAAGTGCAAGTAGATAAATAGGTACTGCTCTGGCGGGAAGGTAAATGGTGTTTCTGTGCGCTGCTCTGGTTTGCCAGAAGCGGCTTAGTCATGCTGGCCACGTGACCCAGAAGCTGTACGCCGGCTCCCTCGGCCAGTAAAGCGAGATGAGCGCTGCAACCCCAGAGTCGGCCACGACTGGACCTAAAGGTCAGGGGTCCATTTACCTTTAAGCTTATCTCGGGAAGAAAAGAAAAATCGCCCCCGAAAGAGCTTCCTTCGTTTAGACAGCAGGGATTTCTTTGGTTGCGATCACACAGATCAGATCTTCCCTCAGGGGTCCCCAGTGAGAACCGGAGCTTCCAGGGGGGCGAGCGAGGGACAGGGCAGGAAGACTCACCAATGACTCCGTCCGTGTTTTCGTCGTTGAGGGAGCCAAAAGCGATGGAAGGCAGGAGGCAGGCGAAGTACAGAAAGATCATGGTGGTGATGTATTTGCCTATGGCTTTGTTGTTGCCGATGATGCCTAAAACAAACCCCAAAGAGCAAAGTGAAGAAAGGGGTGGGGGAACTCCGCATGGATCGAAGCGTGCTCAACGCCAAAGCCGTAACCAAAAGGGCAGACCCACACTGCAGAGGGAAGGACTGGACAATCCTCACGGTACCTTCCGACTCTATGATTCTAATAAGAAGCACATGGACAACAAGAGTCATCCCTTTTAAGTGGGGGTTGGCTGGGACAGTGCCCCATTTGCCCCCTACTGGACTAGCCACTGCTGGTTTGGAGACTTCCCTGAGTGAATCTGCTGCTATGCTTCACTATCAGTGCTCCCTAAACAATTTGGGGGCCACTGCCCCTTAGTTCCATAAATAATAATAATCATCATCATCATCATCATCATCATTATTTATACCCCGCCCTTCACATCATCATCATCATCATTTATTTATACCCCGCCCTTCCCGGTTCAGAAAACCGGGCTCAGGGCGGCTAACAACAAATCTAAAACACTTAATTGATGCTACAAAAAACAGCATAAAGTACGGTATAAAACGTGAATAACAATAAAATCAAAAATCAATTTAGGGGGGAAATCCATCCAATTAACATTAGATGATCACCAGGGCTAGCTGGCTAAATTAGTTCTATTTCGGCCAGCGAGGAGACCAGGGGAGAATTAGCAGTGGGATCCCAGAGCGGGTAATCTTCATAAAAAGGGGAGGAGGAGGGAAGGAAGGGGAATAAAAGATAAATGCATCCCTGATGCCCCCTACCCTATAAAAAGCATTATTCTTGTTTATAAAACCCTATAGAGAGAAGAGTGCGCATTACAGTCGTATCTTGGATCCTGAACGCCTTGGTACTCAGATGTTTTGGCTCCCAAACGCTGCAAACCCGTGAGTGTTCCGGTTTGCGAACATTTTTTGGAAGCCGAACGTCCGACGCGGCTTCCGATTGAGTGCAGGAACCGTTTCAGGAGTCGAATGGACTCCCGGAACAGATTAAGTTTGACAACCAAGGTACCACTGTAATCAGAATAGCCGTTTGCACGAAGATAGTAATGCAATAAAATTCAAATCGGTAACAACTCATTGCACATTTATTCCAGTGAAAACTAGTTGGTTTAATTCATTCAAAAAACCCCGATGTACCAGCTTTTCAAAGTCCGGTAGTCATTTGCACCTTGCAAGCACCCGTCTCCTTGCCTCTTAGTGGGTAATCTTGGCCCCCGCCCAAAAAACCCCCTCAGTTTCACTTTATACCAGGTCATGTTAAATTCCTGGTCCAAGGAAAAATCCATCATTGTACAGCCACCCTCTTTTGCATATTGGGTTTGCACCCACTGCAAAATCTTTAGCAAATGTTTCCAATTATAACGTGACATGGGGTGGCAGGAAGAGACCAAGAAGCCCTTAGGGGAAAACCCGATGCAAACCAAATCTTGCACACCCTGTCGCCCTGGCAGCCAGCCTCCAGGGGTTTACATAGCGCTGCAGGAGACTTAGCAGAATGTATGACGAAATGTCGAAAAGGAAAAACACGCAGCAAAACAGCACCTCAAAAACGGCTTCGCTGGCTCGCTTCAAGTGCTGGCATTTACTTCCCTGGACGCGAGTCAATTATTTTATTTTTAAAATCCTCCAAACAGACAAAGGAAAATCAAACATGGACCCATGCTAAAGCATCACAGAGGCTCCTTTTGGGAGGTTGGTGGGCGATTGATTCCTGCGAATAAATGAACCCCTGGCTTGTACACTCATGTATAAGGCAAGGACTAAAACTAGCGGGAAGGAGGGAGGGAGGGAGGGGAAAAATAACTAGCAGCAGCTGAACCAGAATCTGCCTGCTTTTCCTGAATATAACAAAGGGCAGAGGGTCAGAATGAAGGATTTCCTCTTACTTGGCCAAAGACTGCCTGCGAAACAGCTGAATAAGGCTCTGCAATGCACACATACACACACACACACTCCTCCTTGCTGAAGATAAGATTTCTTTTTAAGCAGAGGAAAATACTCCCAGGCGAGGAAGCTAAATTTGAGAAAATAAACAGAACACCCAGGGGATTCCAATGGCTCTACAGCTTCTATTCCTCATGGCTATTATATCTCACAGAGAGGAGGACACACACACACACACTTTTAATCAAAGTGTTCAGTTTTCGCCACAAATTTGGCAATCTGTATTTGCACACAGCTGAATGCACACGGCATCGTACTCCTTACATGCTGAGTTTGTCTGGGTGTTATTTTAGACTATGCTCAATAATTGTTTGTCTGGGTGTTATTTTAGACTATGCTCAATAGATGTGTTTGTGTGAGCCCTTGAGACTGGAGCTTCCAGCTCAAAAGCACGCTGACAAACAAACATTATCCCTGGGGGAGATAAATGTTGCTTTCGAATTTTTTTAAAAAATATTTATGAATTCATGGAACATAGCCTTATGCTGAGCCAGACTATTTGTCCAGCCTTGCAAATAGGTGCAGAGAAGTTACTAGCCTGTACAGAATCATTTTTCCATCTAGCCTACTGTGGGCTGGCAGCGGAAGGGATGAGAAGCGCCATGCCTCTTGCAGCAGCTCACTGCTCTTCTATACTAGGTAAGCAGATTCTCTGGTTTCTATTGCTGCGTTCCCCAGAGAGATAGAGCGCCCCAACTCCCCCCCATTAGTTCTGCTCACACCTGCAGGCTTTTCTTGCCACCTATGACTACCAGGCAAGCGCTCCATCTCTAAATGCAGCTCCCACAAAAAAGAAAGAGCAAATCTGTTAGTTTTGGTTTCTCTCCGTTTCTTATTTTAAGTTCAGTTCTCCATGTTTCCTTATCTATTTGCCTTTTTTAAAAAGTCCCCATGAAAATTCACCAGCACGTGTTTTTTTAAAGTGATATATGCATCTAACACAAGCTTTATCCCAATGTATGCATTTCTGTACGCATCACTCGGTTGGAGAACCGCCTTGCAAAATTCAGAGAAGTGCGAATTTCGAAAGATGGCGGCATCCCAGTTCTTGCGAGTGAGAATGACGAAGGTTCGCCTTTAAACGCAAACCGAATTGGATCGCCCGCCTGTCCCCAACTACGCATGTTGAACAGCTGCAAAATAATGGAAAGAGGAAAGATCTGTGCAGACGGATGCTCACTGTTTTGCAGTCCTTGCCAATCGCGCTCCTTGCAGAACTGCAAAAACACAAAACTCTAATTAGGTGACACAACACCCGTGTGAAGAAAACAAGGCAGGAAGTGACAAATTCAAGGCTAGCCTTTGGCAGGGAAGAGGCAGCAGCATCCATCACAGCAAGTCCCCGCTCTCGGTGATCTCACCACTCTGAAGTGCAAGTGTTTGCTTACGACAAACATGGTTTGCCCTCACTTAGGGAAACGACTTTGGCCGCAATGAGCTCCACACTATCTGCTCTGAAACTCTAGCTCCAAGGGACTTGTTCACACTGTAAGAAAGTAGCAGGAGATTGAGAACCCTGTTCTCATTCCACCTTGTTAAAAAGAGAGAGAAACAGCCGAAGAACTGATAGACAACTGTGGCCAGAATGAAGAGAGAGAACGCCAGAGAGGCTGAGCAAAGGGAGATGCATATTTTGAAGAGCAAAAAAGAGGGCACATTTGACGACTTCTACTTTTAACTGTGGGTTAAACCACAGAGCCTAGGGCTTGCCGATCAGAAGGTCAGTGTATCGAATCCCTGCGACAGTGTGAGCTCCCGTTGCTCGGTCCCTGCTCCTGCCAACCAAGCAGTTCGAAAGCACAAAAAGTGCAAGTACATAAATAGGTACCGCTCCGGCAGGAAGGTAAGCGGTGTTTCCGTGAGCTGCTCTGGTTCACCAGAAGCGGCTTAGTCATGCTGGCCACATGACCCAGAAGCTGTACGTCGGCTCCCTCGGCCAGTAAAGCAAGATGAGCGCTGCAACCCCAGAGTCGTCCGCGACTGGACTTAACGGTCGGAGTCCCTTTACCTTTAACCATGAATGGCGACTCTCCTTCTACATACCTATGAAAAAGAGGACGTGTCCAGGAAAAAGAGGCCATATGGCAACCCCAGCAGCATCCACTCATCGGGGAAGAATCATAGTGTTGCAAGGGAGCCTGAGAGCTTCTAGCCCAACCTTCTGCTAAATGAGTGCAGGATGCAACAACGACATCCTTGACAGGTGGCCATCCACCCTCTGCTTCATAGGTGCCGGCTCCCTCGGGCCTTGGGTGCCCAAGCACCCACAAAATTCTCCATGGAGTGGCTGGGCACCCACAAATTTCGGCACTAGGGCCATGCATGCTGCATGGAACCCATGGCCCTGGGCACCCACGGTCACGGGGCCAAGCTGGTACTCCTGCTCTGCTGAAAAGTCCCCACTTCCAGAGGCAGGTTGTTCTACTGTCCGACAGCTCTTTCTCTTAACGCTTAACCAAGATCGGCCTCCTTGCAATCTCCACCCATTAGTTCTAGTCACGTCCACAGGAGCAGCAGGGAAGCAAGTGTGTTCCGTCTGCTGCCTGACAGCTCCTCAGATATTTGAAGAATTCTATTGGGTTTCCCCTTAATCGTCTCTCCTCCAGGCGAAAACATACCCAGCTCACCGTGCCCAACTCAGCAGGGGCGGCGGGAGAGCGAGAATGCAGCCTCCTCTACATCCCACAAGGAATTAAGTGACAACTACACATCCCCCAAAGTAGGCACATGCTATCTGGAAAGACCTTAATCAGACCTTCTTGGGAAACAGCACACTTCGAACCAAGAAATCTAACGCTATGCACGACTGGGAGCACATTGTGTTGGGCGATTTCCCCATTTCTAAAAGCAAGCATCAGAGTTCTCTTGATGTACACACTGCACATTTTTTTAGTCCTTTTGGCTACGAAGCAAAATGGTAGTGACTCAAAGCATTGGGTCTTTTCCTGGGGTCCTGCGTACTTTGCAGGGGCACCCCTCTTGGGACCACAACATGAGATACAGAGCAAGGTTTCCCAAAATTGGCTGTCCAGCTCTTTTTGGACTACCATTCCCATCATCCCCAAC